CAAAAGAAAAGTTGAAAAATGAATGATGTGTTGCAACACAGAAAAACAATAAATACTTTGTATTTTAGGAAAAACAATCCATAAAAGATCCTATGACGCAAAAGGCTGAAAATATATTATATTATTTAACACAGTTGTGTTTTTTGCAAGATTGTCTGTGAAATATGCTCCAACACAATATCAAAAATAATTGAAAACTGAAGTAATTCTATGGTGGTTTATGCATACTACAAATGTCACAGGCAGAAAATATGCCATAAAGAAGCCATACATAATCCTATGTGAATATTACTGGAAGGCAATATCAGGTAACCTTAAACATAACCTTAAATGTAACATTAACAATTGGGAGACAAACATCATAGTGTTTTCCTCCCTTATTCTGAAGTATGTGAGATATGAGTAATCTGAGTTTTTTTCCACAGCAGGCGAGAGATCAACCTCTGCCACAGGTTATCTAGTTTATTTAGTGTATCTTTGTTAATGGGGCTCTGCAAACACAGAGAGGTCCTTGGCACCGCTAAGTCTAGACCAAGATATAAGGTCCTCCCTGCTCTTTCCATCTTTCTCTCACCTAAAGGCCTAATTACCTGCCAGAGCCTACAGAGAGACCTTTATTATTCATAGAGGTGTGTGGAGCTGCATAGCAGGCAGGAGTGTCTGCCACATGCATGCAGTTCATTTGATATGCAAGCAGCAAACCTAACACAAAGCTTAATACACTCACTTAAGGCTTTCATCACAGAAAAGCTAATAAACTCTCGGGACTAAAAGGTTTGAGATGAAAGGGTTAGCACAGCTGTGCTAATTATTCACTCATTACATGTGAGTAAACACCATCAGAGCTAATGTGGATTAAGAGAAGACAGATCCTCTCATCATCAGCCTGGGAGGGAGAGAAGAAAGTTGACAGCTGAAGGTCCTTCTGAAGAAGGTTTATAATAATCAGTTAATAGTTTATCATTTAAAAAGAAATAAAATGAAAGCGGTGCTTTCCCTAAAATGTACACAAATAAAATACATTTAATAAATAAATAAAATAAATCTATGCAGGAAAATAAACCTTCAAATTTTTTTCTGTGTACAACAGAAAGTATCCCATCTGTGAAAGCTTCAAACTCTAATCAGTGGGAGAATTAGTTGTAATAAGTGCTGTCAATCATTTTACACTCTTTATCAGATTATAGATACTTTACTGTGCTTGTACTAGAAAAGTAACCTGTATGTTACAAAGCAACAGATCAGTATGAGGAAAATAACAACCCTATATGTAACAAAAACAGATGAAATGTTGAGAGGTTGCGTCCTGCGACTCATATAATGTTGTGTCCCATATTAATGTGGGGTTGGAGCTCCCTCTGGGAATACTTGGGTCAGCTGTCAAGCCTGGTGTCACCTCACACACTTTCTAACTCAAGACAAATTAAAAAAACTACACTAGCTTCAGCAAAATCAGTTTCAACAGCGTTTTGACATTTTGATTTTCAAAATTTTTTAATGTCATAAGAGGAGTGCCATCCTTGTCTGGTATATTTCTCCTAATTCAGATGTCTGTTTTTCTTGCATAACCTAGGTGGTGGAGAGCTGTGCGTGACTGGTTCACACGTACCACTCATAGGTTTCACCTCAGCTGCAGAGCAGGAGTCAAATGTGACGCGGTGGTTTGTGGGAACGCTGCTCGGGACTCAGATCCATGGTCAACACCTGACGATCAAATCCACAGAAATATCAGAGGGAATCCAGTGATCTGTTCAAACATTCAAAAATCAAAATCCCTACTCTGCTAAAGAAATTCACTGAATAGAAAACAAATCATGGAGTTGAACAATGTTCAGTTCAGTTCAGGATCTTTACAGATGAGAAAAAGAGACTTGTTTTGCAGCATAAAAAAACAAAAACACAATTAGATAATTGCGGTTTTGACCAACTAAATTCCCATACCAACAAATCACTGAGAAGGTCTGGACTGAATCTGCGTAGGATCTGTAAAATAAAACAATAGAATAAGAATATAAATAAATTGTTGCAAAGTAAACATTCAGTAGAAGACTGATGACAGAATGCATCATGTCTTTATCTACACAAAGAATCATGATCACTCCTCTCAACTCTCTCCCCTCTGCTACCAACAATGTTATTTTTTTTAGTCTTCTTTTAGTTTCCAACATCATAATATCTCAATAACAGGGACATTAACTGGACTGTCTGTAGTGTAGAAACTGAAGATTATCGAAGCAGGTAAGTACCACTGAGCTCGAAAACCCAGCCAGGACGACTGTCATTTATTAAACCTAAAAGACAGACTCAATTCTTCAAATATAAACAATATATATATATATATTGGTTCTGCACATTCTTCCTTTGCAGTTCAGGGTTCCCAGGCCAGTGAGGCCTACTGCTGAGTCAGTGTCCAAACAGGAGTAGGTGCAAACTCCTCACACCTCACAGCTGCCCTGGCACACTTCTCCAGCCTGACCTAGCAGGGGCAGCAGCAAAGAGCAGCACTAATGACATGTAGAACTGACTAATTAACTTCAGTGTCTCACTAAACAACTTTTACTGGATATGGATGATGATGGGACAGAAACATTGACTAGTGTTGACTGAACCCGAGACCTTACAGTTACAGGGCTCATCATTTCATTCAAACAGCCTGAGCCATTCATAAAAATAAATTGCTCTTGGATTATTGGACATGTTTGGTAACAGATCATTTAGCTGTCTGCAGTCACAGCCAATGAGTATAGATTTCGTATTTTGAAAATCCTCAGGTTCAGAGACAGACCAGTGACCCGCATAAAACCTCTTTCATGTTCCCAGGCTGCAGTAGCCTATAGTGTGAATTTGTCTACTTTATGATGCCCGTGCGAGCTGCCAGGTCACACCTTGTTTTGGAGCTGGCCCGTTTCCCATGGGACCCCCTGGCCTAGGTGTCAGCCCTGCTCCCAGAGCTTCTCAGGACCTGAGGTGGCTGATGAAGGTGCAACCTCGCACCTCCCACCACATATATGGAGCAGTCTCCATGGTCCTCCTCACTATCCTCTGCCTGCCTTACCAGCAACACACAGCTCACTGCTCAGGGAAGAGCTTACAACCACAGCATCAACTGCAACGACTACAACAGCAGCTATGGAGGTGTCCTACTGCTCTCCTCTCCAGCTCCAGGAGAACTCTTTCCTGTTTGACTGCGAATCCCTGCTGGACAAGTCTTATGATCCTTTGGCCTATGATCTAGCCCCGGACCCTGGTTACTTCAGCGCTGGAAGCAGCTTGTCTCCGACCTCTTCTGTGGACTCCTTCTGCTTCTCCCCCACCTCCCTCCAGCCTGCCGGGAACAAACAAGACGCTTTGGACTGTTTCATCTTCAACAGCCAGGCAGCGCCTCCTCTTGCCCAAGAGACGCAGACTCTGCCCTGCTCCGGATCCTCCACAACCACCTCCACCACAAAGAAATCCAGGTCCAGGTATCCAGGGAAGAAGCGCCAGACAGCCAGCGAGAGGGAGAAGCTGAGGATGAGGGATCTGACAAAGGCCATGCATCATCTCAGGTCATACCTTCCACCCTCTGTGGCACCAGTCGGACAGACCCTGACCAAGATCGAGACGCTGCGCCTCACCATCCGCTACATCTCCTACCTGTCAGCCCAGCTGGGCCTCAGCGACGAGGCGCTGGAGCAGAAGAGGTCCTCAGGCTTTGTGGGGCAGCAGCAGAACCTCAACCAGTTCCTCGGTCAGCCAACAGCCTGCTACAGCACACAAGAATCAGACTGTAACACCATGAGCACAGCCCAGCTGTCCTCTCTACAGAACTCATATCAGGTAAATTTCAATTTCAATAATTTTTGAACTAAACAGAATTTACTTTACAAGTGCTTTGTTTTACATAAACTATTAATTTGCACATGGTTTTCCAAAGTGTTACCATTGAACGAGTTCATAACCAAAATCTGTTTTCTGTTGTCAGGTTTCTAGTGGAGTTTGCTTCTCCAGCGAGCAGTACTGGACTCCACAGCAGCAGCTACAAAATGCAAACTTGTATGGACAGTGCTGAGAGATATGGCGATCAATCCTCTCAACTATTTTCATTGCAACAATGACCTCAAACATTGATTTATGGACAAAACTTCTCATTTTTGTTATTTTGAACAAAATATATTTCTGTGTTTTTTGTATATAGAACTGTGTATTTATTGAGCTTTCACAATGTGAACAGAATAAATATTATTTATCAAAATAACCCTTGAGTGTGTTGCATTCATCCGAATGGCTTTGTTGTTGCACCAGACCTGGTGCTTGGCCTCCACTTCCTTACACAAACACCGCAGCTGTCAGCAGGACAATGAGGTGCTAAACAGGGAGCACATCCCCTCTAAAGTCCTTAAGGAAAGACCCCCACTGAGAGAAGTGGCAGCTGAACTAGGACCAGTTAACTGGCACCTTTTCCATCCTGTGTAAACATGGCTGATGGTTGAGAGCCTGAAAGAAACCTCATGATAAATAACTGGCCCTGGATTAAGTTCAGAAAGTTGGGCAATAGTTCTGTTGATCTGTTTTAATTCCTGTTGGAAGTTGTTCCTCTGCAGTTTCCATATATATAACCTAGAACTTAAATATGGACAAAGACATTCAGTGTGTAATGTCTTAGTCATTTAGGACGGCTATGTCAACAACGTAATCTGTGATGCTGCCCAGATGCCTGGAGCTGCCTTACTTATAATAACTGAAGCTTTGTGGACATTTATTTTCAGTCAAGTGATTTACATTCAGATGAGCTTTGTTTAGTTTTTATTATTTTTAGCACATGCTGTCTTGAAACACAAGCTGTGCTCCCAACCTTTCAAAAATCCCCAAGGTGGTCTCAAAGAATGCTCTCTGTCTTCTTGTTTCTCCTCTCAGGAGCTAAAGGGATAAGCAGTAGCAGAATATCTTTTGTGATGTGACAATTATTTAAAATATTGAAATGTACAAGTAGTACTAAAGCATATTTTCCACATGCAAAACCAGATTTTGGTATCAAATTTATTCATAAAAAGGCTTAATCAAAACAATACATTTTTTAAAAGTTCCATCAATTCAAAAAATTTCTACATTTAGTTCCAGCTGGAGCAAAAGTCAGTAGAACAATACATTTGAAAAATTAGTAGGGGAGAGTGTTAAACAAGAGAAGATGCTTCACTGGTGAACCATTCATGCACCTGTTGCTTGTTCAAGGCCACCCAGTTCATGTTGGCCTTAGTTCTCTCCAGTACCTGATCAAAAGACGAGGTGGCCGAGCCTAACTGCCCTGCATTGTCTTCTTTGAACTGCAGCAGCTGGAGAGAGAGGGGGATGGGTACCCAGTAACTCTTAGGTCTCATACATTTGGATACAGAGATCATGCTTGTACCATACCTGACAAACATTAGTCTAGTTATTAATCACAAATTGTCGATGTGAAATGAAACATTGGGTCATTACAGAAAACAACAACACGTATTAGAGAAACTGTACCTGCTTGTACTCAAACTCAGTGGAGAATCGCTTGGTCACTCCATCAATTAGTCTTCCGAAGTTAAATGATCCGCCACCATAGCTGAAGAAAAGGCAAAAACAAGATAGGCTTTGATCATTTTGCAAATAACTACAGGCTGTGTAACCAAAGCTTTTGAGTGATGTTGTACTCAGTAAAGCTAAATGCTAATGTTAGCATGCTAACATGCTCACAATGACAATGCTAACATGCTGATGTTTCGCAAGTATAATGTTCACAGTGTTCACCATCTTAGTGTAGCGTGTTAGCATGCTAACATTTGTTAATTAGCAGAGGATTAGAGGTGGATGTAAAGGGCATCAGTTTTGCTGGGATACTGGCAAAAGGCAAATTTTGACCTGATGATGATGCTAGAGGAAAAGTCAGAGGATTCCCGAAATCATCAAGATTCACCCACTGGGCACCAAACCTCATGGCAATCCATTCATCAGCATAGTAGTTGAGATATTTCAGTTTGAACCAAAGTGCTGGACCAACATCACCCGACTAAACATCCTTCTAACAGCATCATGAATGTGTATTGTGACACTGCATTGCTCTACCAGTTGAGTTTACTGTCACAGCGCCATTTGATGGAATATACATGTGTGGATAAGGGAAAACTCACTCATTGAATAAATGGGCCCAGTTGGCTCTGACAAAGTCCCATGCCAGAGGCTGACCGATGGGGTTACTAGCAATGTAAACAATGGTGAAGGTGGCATCCTGCTTACGGATCTTCTCTGGGTCCAGACAATATTGGAGATACCTGAAACACACTCACAGTGAGGACAAAACCCTAATGTGTGGAACAGTGTTTGAGGTAGGACCATCTAAACCCAGCAGTGACCATTTTCTGTCAGAACATGTTACTTATAATGATAAAAGTTTGATATAAATAAAACGTACAGAAGGTTTGTTTATTCATCATGCACTAAGAGCTTGATGTAGAGTGCAATGTGACCTGAAGAAGAGAACACACACACAAACAATGAGAGAACAAACATTACCCAGGATGATGTCAGTGGTACTGACCTGTTCAGCAGCCATGGCTGTTTGGTGCAGGACAGAGCATGCATGAGTTTTTCAGCTTCCGAAGCAATGGTGGCATTCTTGTACATGGACCAAGCAAAGTCCCACTCCGCTATACCTCCTGCTGCAATTGCACTACAGTAGACTGTGGACTTCAAGTTGGGACTAATTCTGGAACGATTGATACAGATGACAAAGAGTCAAAGGAAATGACAGCAGAGGCTGGGAAAGATACCAGGGAGGTCAAGTGGGAAATGGCTGATAAGAGTCTGAAGTGATGGAAGGTAAATACTGGAATTAAATTAAAACAACTATTGCATTTAACACAATTTGACATATTAATACCTGTGAAAATGAGGAGGAAAGAAAGAATAATATATATAAGCACTATTGAAATAAAGAGAGAAAATAAATGAAAAGAATGAAAGAAAAGGCTGAGGTGCCAACCTACATGTTGTTGTTTGGGTTTTTCATCCACTCTCTGAACCAGCCAGTGGTCAGCTGCTTACAGCCTTCCACGTCGGTGCTGCAGGCCAAGGAGATTGCATTCACCTGGTTGTACCTGGAACATGAGATGATACAGGTGTCAGAAGAGTGTTCCAGAAGGGCCCAATTGTGGACCTCAGATGGGGACCCCAGGTCTGCGAGCCAGTGGGAAGAGAGTAGGTTCCCCATGCGTGAGATGGGCTTTAAGTAGTGTTAATGTAATGTTTTTGTCAGGTAAAAAAAAATAGCTAAAAATTTTTTCTTGTTGTGTGTCAGGTATGACAGAAATACTATGTTAAATTACCTAAAAAATCATGGTTGAAATTACAGCAAGTGTTGAAGAACAGCCCTTTAAAACCACGTGAAACATGTTATAATATATTTTCTCTTGAATCAAACTGGAAATATGAATCTCTCTTGTGTTGTCACTGTCAGCGTTTGATTTTAGTGAATTTGGTGTGCCTAAACTCATACTGCCTTCTGAACATGTACATAGAATACAGAACATCTTCTATACACTCTATTTTTTCCACACCTTGCTAATGTTAAAATGCTGATGTTAGTTACAAATATCTTTATAAAAGACTGAAGATACAGATAAAAGATTATATCTGGCCTGAACATTTTACTCTTTGCGTGGCTTTCTTACTAAAAGCAGATTTTGTTTTACACAGAAGACACTGTTACCCTCTCAGTCTGAATGAAAATATGTTCAATTTACCAAAAAAAGCAGCCTATTTTTGTTTGAGCTTTTATAATGTTGCAGAAAAGGAAGTAACCCATATATGCAGAGTCCTTCTCTCTTCCCTCTGGCTGGGGTCCGCAGACGTGAGGTCAGCAGCTGGGCCCTCTGTTAACACTGATGAAAGAGTCCCTTACAACTCCTAAGTGTTGACTCATATGATTAGGTGAACAAAGCCAAACTCGGATCAAGTAAAACCCAAAATGCAGGTTTTTAGTAGAACTGCACTGAAGTCTTCCAGGAGTGAGAATGTAAGTGAAGAAGTAAACATAAACTCAGGAGATAGAATATCTTTCTATCAAGATAAGGGCAAACTGGAGGGAACACATTAAAAGAGATACTGGAGAAAGGCACACAGTGTGGAGAAGATTATGTAAGGTACAGCTTGGAAAGATTTTTTGACAGAGGATGGGTAACTTTGAGAGTTACCTAGTTTTCCCACTTTAATTAAAGTTTCAGCTCATCTACATTGCATTAATCCACAAAGAAATGGTTTAATGTGGCTTAGCACAATGTAAGTTGCCAATCAAAAAAGAGTAGATTTTATATTGACTTTCATTGAATCCTGTGCTTTTCTGTGTATCATCCTGTTTGACTCAGCTCTTTAAGGTTTGTAGGACTAACATCAATCTAGTCATGACAGCCTCATAACTTTTATAATAGTTACAGTCCGGTCTTAAAGTGGTCATTGTTATCAATGTTATATATTAACAGTGTTAATATAACACATATGTGTGCAAAAGACTGAAGCAGACATTTAAAACAAACAGCACTTCAACAGCCTTACTGGTCGTTGTGGTTTTCCGGGATCTTTGTCCAGTTGAGAGTGAGCTCTTTGAAGTATTTAAACAGAGGAGTGACCTGTTTCTTTATGTAAGCCTGAGGGGTGAAGATACACATGTTTTGTTAATTTGGATTCCTGTTTGAGAATAGAAATGTGTCATTCAGAAATGAATTTACATTGCATATGATTCCTAGCTATATTGTTCCATGATCTGCATTTTTTTTTTTGGGGGGGGGGGGGGGGATCAGCATTGGAATTAATTTATAGAAGCAGTATAACAAATGTTGAACAGTCATTCATCACAAACCTGCATGGGTCCATAAACTTCACTGCGGTCAAACATGAGGAAAAAGTAGTCCAAGTTTCGTCTGGCTGTCTGCCAGGGCATGTATTCGACTTCTTTCTCAAGGAACTTGGTAGTCCTCAGAGCCAGAGTGGTGGACACGATCCTTGCCCTGAAAAATTGAAATTGAGATACAATTACTCAGCCCTCTCATTCAATATCTGAGACACAATACTTTGTAAAAAAAATAATAACATAAATAACAAGACATGGCCTCGCCTTGCAAGGTTGAAAGCATCATCGATAATTTGAGCTCGGTTGATCACTGGAATATCCTGAAAAGTGAACAAGGAAATGACACAAGGAAACTGAGTTTGGATAGTCACACTGCAGAAGTAATGCAGTATCATTTCCAAGCAGATATACTGGCTTATTGTACCTGATGTCTGGAGCTCAGCTTGGTGAGGAGACGCTCCCAGTTTTCAGAGTCATAGTTAACTCTGTAGAAGCCCTTCATATTTATGTTGGCTACCAACCACTCATTAGGACCAAGAGTCAAGTTTGTGTTTGTGGCTGTTTGGATGGAGATAAATAAACAACTGCTAAAAAATGCTTTCTGCTTACTTTTTGTATTGTGTTCATCATCCTTGCAATGCTATCAACGTACACCTGAAATTAATTTTACCTTCTTTGTTAAGAAGCCAGTACTGCTGCTCAGCTCCACCAGTCTTAATCCACGTAATAGGGACAAACCACTCATAACTGGAGCCGCATCCGTCCAGCCATACATATGAATGTAAACACAGTGCAAAGACAGAGGAGGTGAGTTTCTTATGACAGTGGTGTTCACTATGACCTCATATATGAAACATTAAAAAAGTTTTCCTACTTGAACTCTGAAGGTATGTTCACTTCAGAGTCTGGGTCCAATAAGAAGTGTTTCTGGGTGATTTTTCCAGTCTGGGTGTTGATGGTGACCACTGGGAAACCCATCTGTAGGATCCAGCGGTTCATGATAACCTCCACAGAGTGTGGCAGCTTTATGCCGGCTTTATCCACTGCCTGGTTACAGGAACATTCAAATATTAGTAATAGTATGACTCTTCCTTGCTTCCTGCAGAGAAATTACTTTACTTCTGATAAACACTTCAGAGGGCAGCTACATCAATGCATACTGCTGACAAATGTTTTGATACATGTATTTCTTCATGGTGTCATGACTTGTAACCATTTACTTTATCTCAGAACTGACTCTACTGTTGACTATTGACCATTGAGTCAAAATGAATAATAGACAGATTCATTTTTCAACTGTTTAAAGCAAACCTACTGTCTTGTGTCTATCTTGTGTTGAAAAGCATTCAGTATGGCCACAAGAGCCAATTACAGTTTTATGCTAAATACTAAAAAGCAGAGTAGCACAAGCAGAAAAGATCCATAAAGTTAACCACATTACTGGTAATGTCAGTTACATTGCAATACATAAAGTTTGTTAACCTTAGTTAACATTAGCCATCATAGGCTACAGTCATAGCAAAACAGGTTGTACTGTAGCACCAAGTGAAAGCAAGTGTGTTGTATTTCTTATGAATTCAACTTCCAATTTGTGAGAGGAAGTGTGTTATTTTTAATATGGCTTTACAGACGCACTAATAAATATTTTTACCTAAAATAATTGCCCAGAAAACTCACATTAGATGTGACATGAAATGCAAACTCACTGCAGGCTAATGTTGCCTGCCTAGCACCAAACCACAGAGAAAACAATTTAGCCACTAGCATTGTGCACGTAGTGAAGAATTTAGCAGCCAAACTGTCGATACTTCCCTCAGGAGTTGGTGGAGACTAAAAGCAGAGCTAAGGAGAGTGAATATTTGACTTATATTTGCTGGGTTTAGGCCTACCGAGACACAACTCCAAATGACCGTTAATGTGTCTCTATGTCTGCTGCTGGATGTTTAAAAAGGCTACTGCATGCTAACATTTAGCCTTTTCAGTTTTATAAGGTGAGATGTCAGTGTTATGTTTACAATTTGTTGTTCTGCAGTTGGAGACACTCTACAAACTACTAGAGCTACTGAGACGTGTTGACTGGGTTTTTACAGGTCATATCTGTCACTTTTTGTCACTTCAATAAATAATATATTCACATTCATTACAGTGCACTGTTCATGAGACATAGACGTGTTTAGAGTCTGACATGATGCTGAACATGCTGGATACATACTACTTATGCAGAATTCTTTAAAGAAATATCTTACTGTTTTTGTACTAAATTAATCATGAATGAACAAAGCACTTTTCCTTTTAAAGTAGTCATTTTATGGAAAGAAAGCAGTTGTGATGATGGGGCAATCTTACCATTTGCAGGTGCTTCCAGAGATCTGTGTAAACTGTGTTCTTATACTTGAACTCCTCCAAGTATGTCTGCAGACAGATAATAACCTATTGGTCAGACTCTGGTTGTGCTTTTCTGGTAAACAAAACTAGTTATGCAGGCCAATGAAATGGTGATATGACAACATTTACCAAATTAAATACGTTTTGCTGACTTCAGGGCAGTTTCACCACACATACAGATTAGATGCTCATCAGTTTAATCAGCTGTACTCACATGGAGTCCTTGGGAAAAGACAGTCTCAGTGATAAACTCTGAGAGCATCCTGAGGACTGCGGCTCCCTATAAGGGAAAACAGGAGGATATTAGAGTGAAATATCAGATGGGATAGAATTACAGCTATCTGTTAATGAGGATCAGTTATTCATTAGTCATTTAATTATATAGTTCCCAAAGAGGGTGGCAAAGTCCTAGGTGAGGACCAACAGCAGAAAAATAAAACTTGGGCTTGAAGAGAACAATACATTGGGGTAAGCCAGTTGTGATGTGTTGCCCTCAATTATACTGCACCTTGCTGTATGTGATGGAGTCAAACAGCTGACTGATGTGCTCTGGCTTCAGGATGTCCTCCTCATTGGTTGAGAGGGGATGGGAGGAGGCCAAGGCATCCACAGCCATTACACCAATGATCTCATTCAGAACTATTAAATCTTTCTGGAAAATACACAGAGATATTTTGTTTTTGGTATTTAGCATTGTGGTATGACCAGACAACCCCCCCCCCCCCCCCAAAAAAAAAGACATCAAATTAATTTCTACATCCTCATTGTCAGTACTTGGCTCAAACTATAGGAACTTTAAGGAGATCAAAGTTCACCATGTTCCACGTTGGTTCAGCATAGTTGGCTCCCAGATAAGAGACGTAGGTGGCAAACCCCTCATTGAGCCACAAGTCATTCCACCACCTCGTGGTCACCAAGTTCCCAAACCACTGAGGAGACAGAGCTTCATTTTATTGGCCGGTCTTTAAACACACTATCAAAGATATGTTTTTCGGAGGGCAGTACATGAATGTACTTCACTGTGATACCATATGCGCGAGCTCATGTGAGATGACTGTTGCCACCCACTCATTGTCTCCATTGGATGATACGCCAGGATTATATAAGAGGGCAGTTTCTCTGTAGGTGATCAGGCCCCAGTTTTCCATGGCTCCAGCACTGAAGTCAGGAAGAGCGATTTGGTCTAAAAACAACATAGAGATCATTTTTAGACAGCTCGCTTTATGTTTAAAAACTATAAAATATAAGCAATTAATAAAGATAATTTGTACACAAAGTAATATTGGTTAGTAGTACTGATTACAGTAATGTAAACTTATAGTGTGTGAGTGTGTGTTTGTGTTCCAACCTGACTTGCTCAGGGGGTAAGAAGAGTTGTAGTATTTCTCAAAGAATGCCAGTATGGGTCCAGTCTTCTCCAGGGCATAGTTTCCTTGGCCTTCCTCTATAGCCTTCTTGCGAGCCCAGATCCTGATCTGGACACAAATGTTGCTTTATTTACTGAACAGGAAAAAATGGTAGACCAGAGACCTGAGCTGAGCTTTGAGTCCAGCAGAGGGCAGCATAGAAACACCTTGACCAACAGGGAGGAGCAGCAAACTACAGGAGAGCCATTTGCTGTTTGTATTGGTAGCTGTAGTAGATGCAGTGGATGTTGGTAGTAATATAATAAATGGTTTCTAAAACTGCATTTGTAATAATTAATGGAAAATTGTGACTGCAAATTCACTTCAATCAATCATACAAACTAACACAGACTGTTAAATCAGAAGCATAGATATACAGCGATTCAAATTGAACCACTGAAGAAGTAGTGGCAGTAAATGCAACATTAGTAGTAGTAGAAGTGGTATTGGGGCGAAGTGTTGTTCTCGAAGCTGATTATTGAAGGATTGAAGAAAATTATTGAAGAAAAATCCTCTTCTTCCCTACAGGGAGTTGCAGGGAGGGGGTGGTCCAGAGTCTACAGTGCTACAGTGTTTCTTAACTATTAAAAAATAATAAAAATGACATAGTAGATGCACTGACAATTAACTGGGAAACACGTGCTACAAGACAACAGTATTCAAACCTATAAATGTAAATGACAGATGTTTTAAACTCATTTCCATTTGTGCGGTTCTGACTGTAAGATCTAATAAATAATTACCAAAACGTCTGCACCAGGTTTCGTCCCAATGAATGTAAAATCACACACAACAAAAGCCAGCAAGTAGGTTGACATAATCTCTGTGGGCTCAAATTTTGTCTGGATTAAACTCTGGCCATCCATAGTGATGTTAATAGGCTCTGTGTGGGGAAAAAGACAGCAGGTTTATTATAAGTGAAGAAAAGAGGTGTAATAAGCTGATTGTATAGGATAATACAGCAGAGAATTTATGTTTGAAGATGTAATATTGTTGCCATTATTATTGTTTTTCTTGTGACAATGTAAATAATATTTGGAGAGCAAGTTTGTCACTGTCATGAATAACAAAATGACCACGTAATACTTTTTTTTTTTTTTAAATGTTAATCGTGGTTACTGCTTACAACTGAAAAACAGATTTTTGTAAATGATATTACACAAGCTACAATATTACATTACACTTAATGTTGAGTTAGCATAAACATTACACATGGACAGTTGACATGTAAAATGTTTCACTGGACACTGAAACAAGAACTTGCCGTAATTCATGGCGTTGGACAGAGCCACAGTCTCATGGGGGTGCATGAGAGTTATGTGGAAGATAGCTTTCATGGCGGGCTCATCAAAGCATGGAAAGGCTTTCCTGGCATCCGTTGCCTGCATTTGAGTCGTAGCCACCACTCTGATAATAGCAGATATGAAAACCTAATGATTAACACTCACATGAAATGTTAAAGCAACCCTCCACCCATAGAGCCTAGATATAATCCACGTTCAATCTTTTCAATAAAAATTGTAATGAAGCAGTTGTTGTGTTTTTTTGATGTTCCCACTTTCCCTACACCTATCTTTTTTACTGCTCCCTCCTTGGTGACACCTGCAATTTCCTGAATAAATGTCAGCAACCTGGAAAAGCGTCTGAACTTTCTCAGAATTCAAAATGGAACAACCACTAGGAGTAAACAAAGTGACAATATTTTAAACCCTACACACAGCGGCTGTAAATGTAGCACACTGAGGTTTTGACATTATTATTACACTTTATTTTATTATGTTTTTGCCATGTGCAACAACATGGGCACTGGGTGTATCAAGTGGAGAATAGCTCTTTACAGTTTAGTTTAGGAATAAAACCTTTAATTAATTTAGAGGTGCTGGTAAATGGATTTTGTTACATTTGGACAGGGTCAGGCTAACTGTTTCCCTTTTTTCTAATCTTTGCGCTAAACTAAGCTGGCTGACAGTTTAACAACTTCTTCTCCTCTTGCTTTCTGCATTTCCCAAAATGCCCTTCTATGTCTTTAAAGTAAAGGCCAGGCTTAAATGCATGCTTTGCGATGCCTGTGTAGTTGTCGAGGTGTTTAAACCCTGCATTACTACATATTAACGTTTACACTTTGTTTCAGTCCTCACAATGATATCAAAAAGCAAATTAAATAAATGCCAAATTAAGGTTAAAAAGAGCATCATACTTTTTCACCCCATCTTCGAAGTATTCACTCCTGTAGAATCCTCCCAGGTCGTCGGACAGTTCTCCAACAAACTTGGTGAAGAGCTCATACATGCTGCCGGCCTGTAGCGGGCTGTTGAGCTGGACCACCAGGTACTGGGTGGGGACCTCCAGCCAGGTTTTTTTCATGCCAGGCGCAGCGGCTCCATTGAGGCCCGTCAGCTTGGCATGGAATCCCTCGATTATGGTGAGGTTCAGCTTGTTGGAGTGGATGATGATGAGGTCGGTCTCCCGCAAACATCTGAAGACCACCGTGGAGTGTCCAGTGAAGATATACAGGCCATCTACGTTGGGCTCCAGCCGGGGCCACAATGTCACATTGTAGGAGACAGGGGCGAGGGAGTCCGGAAGTCTGTAGCGCTGCCATGGCTCTTTCGGGGTGGAGGGCGTGGTGCTGGTGCTGGGGCTGACAGTGGATAGAAGTGTCTCTTCATTCTTTGACTTCTCCTGTGCGTAAACCACAGACAGAGCTATGATGGTGGCCACAACACCGATGGCTGCAACCACACAGGTGACTGCTACTGGTTTGCTGATGTAGATGCCTTTCCCCATGTCTCCACCAGAGAAGAAAAAGACAGACATGGGACACTGATTACTATTTATGCCCTGCCTTATATCAGGTATATTCAGCCCAGAGTTAATGATTGAGCTTCAGGGAAAACAGCTGACAGTCCAAAACACTGAGTTGTAAAAAGTCCTTGAGATAACAGAGAGTCCTGCCTAATCTGTAAACTTCATACCTGCATATTGGCTCCGAATAAAGGCCTTCTTTAGAAGCTGGCCTGTGGTGTCTTTGTTTATTCAGGACTGCAAATTGAGTGGCAATGGAAATACTATAGCACTGTGTGTGTCTGTGTGTATACATGCAAATGTCAACTGTTTACAGATCTGGCTATCCAATAGTAAAGAAACCGGAGTTATATAACCACATGGGCTAAGGAGAGGTTTATAAAACTGCAGACACTTTCATCTAGCCTCAAATGTTGTGCAAACTCTAAAGTTGATTTGGTTGACCAAAACAATTGTGGTTTATGAAATGAAGACATTTGGGTGGTTGAAATGAAAACACATATTTTGTGCTTGGAAGCCTTTCTTAACACAACTGGCACAGAAATGTCTTGAGAAATGACATTTGGATGTAGGTCTGCAAACAGAATTAAAATAATGATGACATTTGGATGTAAGTCTGTAAACAGAATTAAAACAATGAATATTTTTGTAGATTGCACAATTAATCAACTCTTGCCCAATAACATGAAGTAAAAGAGAAGAATCAGCATTCAGCTAACTAGAGTGAAGGATGGTGGATCTGACAGTCAGTTACTTCTTATTACCAGAGCGCCGCAAGTAGTGACGCAGTAATTCTGTCTAACTGTGCAAAACAATTCCTGTGAAATGTCTAATAAGCCTTCAAACTCATGGATCTATCAGTTAAACTCGCTGGTCTCAATGACACTTGAAGCAATGTGAGCCTACCAAAGCAGACCCTTGCATATTTTGGGTCTGTTTTCGCTATGAACGCCTGGTAAGAGCCCGCACGAAAACCACATCGCATGCAGACAGACATACAGACATCACATTATAGTATGATGGAATGACAGCAAATTATGTTTTCATACCTTGTATTTAGTTTGACTCAGTGGATTCACCTGTTGACTGTGGAATCTGATTTTAAAGCAGTGTTGTCTGCCACGCTGCACTCACTTTTAGCACGTCAGCTGCTTATCCAAAAAAATGCTCCAGATCTCTCATTTGAAAGTTTGTCCTGAAGAGCTTCAGTTTGTTGCCAAAGAGGAATCCTATTTATACCAGGTCAGGCAAAATCTGCAACGTCCCCAGTAAATCCAGGGTGAGTCTGTCTCAAGGATGTATGAGGCAGGATACGGGATATTGCGCAATCTTCAAACACAGAATATACAATTATTGCCATTGGCAGCTGGTCTTGAACTTGCTGTGTCTTGCCTTGTCTTAAGGGTAGATACAGTGCAATACTTCTGAATACTATCTTTTCTTAGGATCAGAATACATATGTTTTCCAAAAGTAGTGTACAATGTGCAATGGTACGTGAACAGTGCTGGACACAGGTCTATACATTTCTCTTCACATTTTCTTGAGAAAGGATAGCATTCCAGAGGAACTTTTTTAGAAATTCATGTTCATTGTACAGATTTTAGTGCTAGCTGATATTATGCAGGCTCAAGACGCTTGGTAAATATCTGGAACAACTAGACTTTTTTCACATTAGCATGAAGTGAAGTGGCGCTGGACATTAGAAGCCTTAAAATACAAGTGTGGCACGTCAGGTCACAAGCCTTCCCATTGGGTTGAACAAAATATACTCCCCCACTTTGTTGGAAATGTTCTATGCGCATCTTTATAGTTGCACTTAGCTGTACAGTTGGCTGCTATGATGTTAAAGTGATTCCGTAAAATTAATAAAATTATGAAGGGAAGGCACAATGCAAAATGCCATGGCCACAAACTCCAAACAGCTCCAGACCCTATGCTTCCCAAACATGATAGCATCTGTTGTTAGACCATCCCTGCCTGATTAACGCACATATCTGTCATCCTCTATGCCTGCTTACTGTTTAAAATTCAAACCTAGGTACTAGGGTTATGTCACAGTAATATTCTCAAAAGCCACAGAAGACTTTACACAACTGTTTCCGCAGGTGGTGTACTCCCATGATTTGTAGTTTAACTTTGACATGTAAAATCAATGGAGAGCACTTTTAACCTTTTCAATAACTTTAACTTTACAAAGGTAATAAAAAGACAGCAAACCCTCTTATCAACTCATGTTGTCACCTTGAACCATCAGTGTCACAGCATTTGTTTCAAACAGGGTGAAAACGAGAGACATTTCTCCTCTGTGCTAATCTTACTCCTCCATTGTACAATGATGGTGTATCAATGTTAAGTGAGTACAAAATGTAGAGTGCAAGTACTGTAGGCTTTTGCATAGCCTTGGCTAACAATACAGCATGCAGTTCAATAAAATGTCTAATAAAAAAAATCAAATCAGACTAATTTATTCAGTAAGACCACTTTTTACAATATCTAGGGCAAAATGATTCTTTTTACTTTCTGTAAAGTCTGTTAAGATGTCCAGTCTAGAAAAGCTGCAGGAAATGTTAATTTACTGGAGTTGTTAAAACACCTAACTGTTGGTTTAACAAATCAACATCCCATCATAATTAGGGTTGCTTATGACAGTCATGGGTTTTAGTACTTGTAGAATCAATGTGAATGAACACTGACGCTTCTCTGGTGTTCTACAGGTGGCTCAATGCCTCATGTTTATGGTATAAATGCTTTGCATACATTATAGTAAGCAGCAACATATAATTTGAAGTATGAAGAAAAGACATAAATGAATGCCTGTGAGTAAAACAATCTTCTGTTACAATGGTTTTCTCTACGACAATCACAGAATAGAGATGAGAGTTAAACTTATATATTTACCGCTACACCACTGATATATAGTGATACATGTGGTCCACCAATCATCATGTTCTTTGCGCTTTGTCTCTGTTACCAAGACAAAGAGCTGACCATTTGCTGTTTCTGATGATTACAGTCATTGTCATTCATTACACATCCCTGACAGTACAAAAAATAAGAGTGTGTCATTTTGACTAAGTGCTCTCATGTGGACTCTTCAGTAAACCACTTCAGCACATGGGCTTTGTTCTCTGTCACCCATTTGATGTTGGCTGCAGTCTTCTCTATAGCCTGCTCTAGGGCCAAGGTGGCTGAGCCAAAACCAACATGGAGGTTGTCTTCTTTGAATTTCTTCAGCTGAAGAGAGATCAACAAAAAAAGTGAAAACTGAATTCTGCGTTATCTTTCTTTCCCCCTAAATACCCTCAGGGAAATACATTGTGTATTCTAGTGTGGTTATGGCTGTGTGGGCTGCATACCTCTTGTAACTCAAATTCTGTAGAAAATCTCTTTGTGATTCCATTGATGAGATTAGAAAAGGAAAATGATCCTCTTCCATACCTAAAAAAAAACAAACAAAGATGCTTATCACTTTTAAAATGTAGTGATATACTGGTGGTGAGCAGCAGAAGGAAATTGTGCATTTAAAACACCAATGTCCCTGTACACTGGAAAATGTGCAATAAAGTCTGGTGCACATGTGAAGGCTCAAAAAACAGGTGCAACACAATCAGCACTTATTACATGATTATTAATGCTTCATTGTCAAGGACTCTTGACTGTTCAAGGTAACTCTATCTAGGGCAGGCTTGAAGAAATGCTTGCAAACTCACCAAACTGGTTGAGTGAGTGAAGGAAAAGTAGCACCATGTGTACTTGGAGAAATTACGTTTCTACCTAGAAAAAGCTTCTGTGGTTTCTTTGTATAATATTATTATTCAGTCTTTAATTCAGTCCTTGACAGTGCTGACTGTTTTTCCAACAAACCCTGCTGTGAGGAGTGAGCTCTTACTGCTGAAAAAGGTAGCTCCATCTTGCTCTGACAAAGTTCCAGGCCAGCGGCATCCCCACAACGTTTCGGGCGATATATTGGATGGTAGAGGTGGTGTCTTGTTTGCGGATCTTAGTTGGGTCTAGGGTGTACTCCAGATACCTGGCTCAACCAAAACTTTGTATTAGGAGGAAGTCATTTCCAAAACACTATTTTAATCCATTTATTTCCAAAGAAAAATTAGCTGAAGATCAGTAAATATTTTAAACATCTGGAGCATGTTCTGGCAGAATGCACTGCACATATTAGACATGACACAATTGCATGAAAGTCAACAGAAAGATGGAAGCAGGCATGGCCAAATGCAAATTTGCTGTCTAGCTGGCACAGATTAAAGGGGCTATGTAGTTTTTCAAGGGTTTATCAATAAATCACTTTTTTACTGCCAATTTGTCAACAGGCTGTAACCTCACTTGGAAATGAATCACATGCCTGTATCATAAATGTATTAACGTATCATGTCGGCTAGATGAAGTAAATTTAACATTATCATGGAACAAGCATAGATTACTTTAACCTCCAGCCGATAAAAATATTACTGTCACATTGCAGTGGGAGTTTACCTCACATGTTGTCTATGTGTGTCGGAGTTGCTCATGAGTTCGGGCACATGTACAAGCACACACCTGGTTGCAATCTAAAACTGCACCACTAGTGGCCTCTGCAAACTACATATTGACCCTTTAAGGTGACAATTGATCTATGCGGGTAGAAAATAGTTTAACTTATAATTTATGCATTCTGAGCTCAGCCAATGTCTGAGTTGTCACACAAACACATGCAGTTGGTGTGTATGTTGCTAGCTATAGCTACCGCTGATGGTACAGGGCAAATAGACACACTGCACAAACAGTCAGTTAAATTAGCATGACTCACACAAGGCTAAAATTTGCTAAAAGGGAGAATATGTAACTTTTGAACAACCCAATGGTAAATTCTCCCTCTTACAAATGAAAAGTTGAATTAATTGGGAACAAAACCCAATTGCTTTTTTGGTCTACTATAACCATTGCTTTATGGTGACTAATGTTAGCCACTACTTGCAAATATTAGGTAGACATTGCTGTGGGACTGACATTAGTCAGTCATTAGACAGTTTGTTGACTTTAAGACTTCTCTTATTGTGCCACTGTTAGCTCCACAGCATGTTATATTTACAAATTTCAATCATTTATGTTTGTGTGTCAACGTCCTTTAATTGTTACTCTCACTTTAAATCATTTTACAGGAAAACTCCAGTTGAAACTTTTGTCAGAGTGGCTATCTTGTTTTGGAACAAAATGTCAGTGAATGTAATTCTTATCAACCAAGTTAGTGTCTTTGAAAGTACAGAAAACAAAACTGTTACAGTGTTGTACATTGAAAAAAAGATAATTGATAAATAGATGATAGTCACATTCACAAAACACTTTGAACGAGGATACTCCCACAAAATCTGAATGTTGCATATACCTGTTCAAAAGCCAAGGTGCTTTGGTACAGGCCATGGCCGACCTGAGCCTGGAAGCTTCAGATGCCAGAGTGGCGTTCTTGAACATTCTCCAGGCAAAGTCCCACTCCTTCACACCACCGAAAGCTATGGCACTGCAGTAAACTGTGGTTTTCAAGTTGGGATGGATCCTGGTCAACATTAAGGCAAACATACAGTGGACAATGAATACCAGACACACAGTCCCACACCTCACACACACACTGAGTTGGTGTGTACACGATTGTACAGTTGTTTTCCTGGAATTCACAGCAGTCCAGTCCAAAAGAGAGAACAGATGAAAAAACTGACCTAAACTGCTCCGTACTCACGGGTTGACATCTGGATTTTCCATCCACTGTCTGTACCAGCTTTTGATCAGCTCACTGCAACCTTCCACTCCCATACTGCAGGCTATTCCAATAGCATTGATCTGATTATATCTGAGAAGGGAGATGTTTGAGAAAACTGGGGGTAACTGCAATATAGTGTGACTTGTGGAAAGGGTAACAGTCCAAATTAAATATTGGATTGAATTCAATTACAGTATGTCACCTGATGGTTAATTTATCTGCTTTTTGCTTTAAAAACACATCTTCTGGTTTAAGAGTTCTTACTGGTCAGTGTGTCCTTCAGGTACTCTGGTCCAGTTAGCTGTAATCGTCTTGAAGTGCTCAAAAAGTGGTTGGATTTGTTTCTTGAGGTATGCCTAAAAATAAAAATATATTGGCTTGGAGTTTTTATGTCCAGTTGTTTTACACTCTCCCATTATACACTTCTCCTGTTAGTATCAGAATGAGTTGGGTCAGAGTGGCTTATTAGGATTATTAGCAAAGCAGTACTAACCTGTAAAGCTCCATAGACTTCAGTGCGGTCAAACATGAGGATGTAGTAGTCAAGGTTTCTCAGAGCTGACTCCCAGGGGATGTAGTCTCTTTCCTTGGAGAGGTATTTGGTTGTTCTCAGGGCCAATGTTGTATTAATCATTTTGGCTCTACACAAAGGGAACAAATCTTTCTTTGCAGACATACAAAATGTAAAGGATGTAATACTTTAAATACTTATTTTTCTTTACCTTGCTAGGTTGAATGCATCATCTATGATCTGTGCTCTGTTGATGATTGACAAAGTCTGAAGAAGATGACACACACAAACAAATTGAGGTCAATGTTGTCATGCACATACAACCAAGCCTGTGCGGTAAAGCAGAACAGAAGAGTTGCTACTTTTGCAAAAAGCCATGATTACGTTGTTCTGTTCTTAAGCACATATAAGAATGGAGTCTGGCGAGTCAACTGAATTCAAGACCAACTGAAAATGCAGTACCAAGAATCACATTTCTGATAAAACTCTGAAACCCTACATGTGTGTGCCTGTATCGGCTATGGATTGACTTACCCTCGTGGACATGCAGCACAAATAAAACCGTCACTGCAACTTTCAACGAGTGAATGGGCATGCAACTCACCTTATGGTTGGTGTTGAGCAGGGAGAGGAGGCGATCCCAGTTTTCAAGATCATAGTTCACCCTAAAGTATCCAGATACATTGGTGTTCGCCAGCACCCAGTCCTCTCCTGAAACTTTCATCAGACTGTTGATGTCTGATGAAAAATATTAAAGAAAGATGTGCAAAATACTCAGTTCATGCTATTGACCAAAGTCCACTAATCTAATAGGAAGTATTTTCTTCTCTAGCATGCATGCTAGAAGAGCAGTGATTGTTACTATGACCATACCCGTCTTTTGAAGGAGCCAGTAAAGTTGCTGCTCCACACCTGTCTTCATCCATTTAATCGGGACAAACCACGTATAACTGGACAGATAAGAGATAAAGATGTCAGGCTCTTGGATAGTCTTTCTGTCGGACTATTGGATGGTTTGCCATTAATTTGGTGCATTCATGTTCATTCATTCTGGATAAACTGTGATAACTTTGATGATCCTCTTGCTTTTCATCTAGCGCTACCATCAGGTCAAACTTTAAACACAAAATGTTTTAGTGTTTGACCAAATACCTGCAAAACCAATGACATTCCCATCAGCCTCAGCTATGCTTTTTGTTTAGTGCTAAGTAACAATGAGTGTGCAAACGTACTAAACTAAACTTCACACAGCGTGTAAGCATTGTCATTTTGAGCATGTTAGCACGCCCATGTTAGCATTTAGCTTGAAGCACTGCTGTGTCTGTAGGTAAACAGCTTTTATTGACAGCTACAATATTTACAGTAGTTTGACTCCAAGACATAGGCCTAGAGCTATTTTGTTTGGCAGACATTCATATAAATAGCAGATATTAAGGAATCGAGGTCTTCGTTTTCTGTCTACATGGAACTTACAGGACAAGGTAAAACTGATTCCTACTTGAACTGAGAGGGCCTGTCCACCACAGAGTCTGGATCCAAGAGGAAGTGTTTTTGGGTTATGCTTCCTGTCCGGGTATCAATAGTGACCACTGGGAAACCCATCTGAAGAGTCCAGTGGTTCATGATGTTGTGGACAGTTTGAGGAATATGCATACCCGGTGTGTTTTCAACTGCCTGACAACAAACAGAGGGTAGTGGGAATTTAAGAAGAAGTACACACACACACCCAAAGACATATTGTTGTTTCTGTGAAGATTTTAACTTTACCAACCTGTTGGAGGTGATCCCACAAGTCTGTATACACTGTGTTGCCAAAGGCGAATGTGTTCAGGTAAGACTGAGAAGAGAAAGCACTTATGAACAGCAGATCAAGCATCAGTAACTGTCAACACATTGCTGTAATCAAGATGTTAAAGTTGTATAAAAATGCATTAGTCAACATATTCGGATGTCTTATGAGTCAACATCTTAACCACCGGAAGTGACAGCTCATACCTTTCAAGCAACTAATATTTAGTAATCTTGTGATTTACCAGTCAGTCTAAAATAAGATGAATTTACGATGAGTCAAACCCACAGACACGTCAGTACCAGTCGACACACACACACACACACACGCACGCACTGGCAGCAGTAATAATGTGATGAGGTATTACAACAAAGCAACTACTCACACTGAGTCCTTTGGCAAACACAGGCTCAGTGAGAAATTCTGACAGCATTCTGAGCACCGCTGCTCCCTGAAAACAACAAACACAGAAACCACCAGAATTTGGTTGACTTGAACTTCTCATAACAACAATGGATTCTACATTCAGTCCATAGGAAATATTAAAACAACATGTTTCTCTGATGGTACAATATAGCACCTCATACAGAAACACAATTCATGGATGAATGGGGGGGGGGGGGGGGGGGGGGGGGGGGGGACTCAGTACTTGGTAGGTGCTTGTTACGAGGACCAGACCTTGCTGTAGGAGATGGTGTTGAACATCTCGCTGATCTGAGAAGGGTCATTGACCTCCTCTTCTCGGCGGGACAGCGGGTGGGAGGAAGCCAGGGCATCCACAGCAAACACCTTGTGCACGTCAGACAGTACAATCTGGTCTTTCTGCAGCCAAGTGGAGAGATGAGAGGTTTTCTGACCCATATCTGTGAGAGGTCCATGAAATGTAACAGAACCTTTCAAGGCTCACTGTCTTTGGAGGTACAAGCATGGCTCTTACAATGTTCCAGGTGGGCTCGGCATAGTCAGCTCCAAGGTACTCCACATATGACGCAAACCCCTCGTTCAACCACAGGTCATTCCACCATTGCAGAGTCACCAGGTTGCCAAACCACTAAAAAAATACAACAGAAAGAGTAAAGAGATAAAGACCTCTAACACAGTGGGTTAAAAGTATGGGCTACTGACTAACCAGGGACTTCAGATAATTCCCAACCGCAGAATTTCATCACTTATGAGGTCAGGTCTTAAATGCTTTTAAAAGGGAACTGGGATAATTTGTCCCAAGACGAATTCCTGTTGTCTGGTTTTGCAAAGGGAGATTGAGTACTCTGGCGAAATTTATGTTTATGACACTACAGTGTTACTCACAGTGGAAGAAGCCTTTGCTGAGAGTGAGTTTGCGCCAAATGATTATAACCCTCTATTTTAACTTACGATAAGATTGTTTTCTCCAGATCACTTAAACTGGAACTGATGTGATGACAGCAACTTGGCAAAAATATTATGGCCTACCATGTGTGCGAGTTCATGAGAGATTACAGTTGTAACTCTCTCTTTGTTTCCAGTGGAGGATATGATGGGGTCAAAGAGCAGGGCCGTCTCCCTGTATGTAACCAGGCCCCAGTTCTCCATTGCCCCAGCATTGAAGTCAGGCAGAGCTATCTGATCTGGGGAAGACAAAGCCATTAGAAATGCATCAGACCACCAAAACAGTTTCCACTGAGTCTTAATGTGAAAGTGAGGTTGACATACACATGTAGTTTAGATGCCTTGATTGGTGAACTAATTGATTCACTAGCAGGACTTATTGATTTTTTGAAGGCATTGAGTCATAATCTATGAGGTATGTTTGCTTGACAATTCAGAGACAATAGAGCATATTTGGGATACCAGGTATGTTGTTGTCTAGTCTGATTTTTGCTTATAAGCCATGCCAGTCGCAGGGGATGGCAGTGTCAGACTGTCAGTCATTTGGTTGGTCGGTCTATCCACCACGTGGGTCCAGACTGAATAGCTGTTAGATATATTGCCAAGTTTGTACAGACACTCATAGTCTCCAGAGGCTGAATCCTAATTACTTTGGTGATCCCCGACTTATCCTCTAGGGCCAATATGAGGTTGACATACTGTGATTGTGAGGTTAGCATTTACCTAAAGCACCTATGAGCAGTACAGCCTCACAGAGCTGGTAACATAGCTGTGGACTTGTTGATTCACTGCTACTGGTTCCTTGTAATGTTGAAAAGTAAAACCAACAGCAAATGTGCAAAGTGTGCACATAATGAACAAAATGTTCCAATTGGAACGACTGAATGCTGGGCAGGTCTGGACTGGGAATGGCCCAGACCGGCCTGCCGAATAAATAATTATTTTAAAACATTTGGCTGCATCAGCCTCAAGGGACTTCAACCTCTTCTCTCTCAGTTTTTCAGCACCACCTTCACATTTTCTCTCTTATGTATTTGTCCAAGTTAGAATGAACTGGACCAAAAGTAATTGGCTAGGAGAGGGAGGCTGACAGATGTAATACACAAACTGAAGTTTATTCATGTGATTGGGACAGCCCAGTGTCAAGAAAAAAAAACAATGGGCCGATCTACCGGTTTTATGGGCCGGTCAAACAAAAACAAAGAACAAAACATCTGCCAGATGACGCAGTCCAGCTCTGATGCTGGGCTAAGTGAGATAAAGGAAATGAGATTAATATTTCCATCTGCCCAGGAAAATGTTTGCCTAAGCATGTTGATGCAGAGTTGACCTACCTGACTTTGAGAGCGGATACGTCGCATTGTAGTAGCGCTCATAGAACTGAAGGATCGGTCCTGTAACCTGGAGAGCATAGTCACCCTGCTTATCATCTATGGCTTTTCTTCGAGCCCAGATTCGGACCTGCAAAGAATTTGACAACTTTTAGTGCACAAAAATGAATTAAAAAAAAGATTTTTATTGCATCAAGGATTCACAGGAATATAATCTATTTAATGTGACCTCCTGACCCTTGTCATCATTAACATTGGTTGTTTGAACTGCTTTTAGCGTATGATCCAGAGTAATTTGTATGACCACACTGGTAATGTCAAACAGATACAGGGAACTTCTTACCAACAAATTGTTGTTTAGGGTTGAGTTAATGTCAACAAAGTTACAGACAATAAATGCCAGCAGATATGTGGACATTCTCTCTGTGGGCTCAAATGTAGTCACTCTTAAAGGCACGCCAGCAATGACAGATTCTGCAGTGTCTGTTCAGAGAGGGGAAGAGTTAGACTCTGACACTCTGTTAGCATTACCAGCATCCAATTTCTGATGAACAGTTGGAAGATATTAATTATTTACAATGAAACTGATTCACACAATACGTATACGTTTTTGTTATTGTCATTTGCTCTCTGAAAATCACTTTTATTACAAACCTGTTAAATATCTTGCATAGACCAACATACAAAGAACACATTTCTTTGTATTGCAACTAATTGAATTTTTTTTCTATTCTTATTTGATCTGCTTTTGTGCTGACCCAGAGAATTAAGATGTAACAAACGTTTTAAAGGACAGAATTTTTGTGTTTCTAAAACGAACCAATTTCTCTGCCGTTAGACAAGGCCACAGTGTTTCGATCGTGGAAGATGGTCACATTGAAGATGGCTTTCATAGCTGGCTCGTCAAAGCAAGGGAAAGCTTTCCTGGCATACGTCGCTTGCATCTGCGAAGTAGCGACAACTCTGCAAAATGTTCCAATTAAACATTAACATAAAATTGACATTAACCAAGTGAAATGCTCCAAAGTCCCACCAAGAGGACCATTTGAACCACATTAACTCTCACTGTCAAGAGCACAATGATGGTGCGCCATTATGTTATGCTATGTCATTGCTTACTTCTTCACACCATCCTCAATGTATTCACTCCTGTAGAAGCCTTCCAGGTCATCTGCCAGCTCCCCCTGAAACTCAGTGTAAAGCACATATGATGCTCCAACATCTAGTCTGCTGCTTAGCTGAAGAACCAGATACTCCGTCTTCACAACAAGCCAAGACTTTTGTATAGCGGGCGCAGTGGCTTCACCCAGGCCACTCAGCTTAGCATGGTGCCCGGAGAAGGTGGTGAGGTTTAGCTTGTTAGAGTGGATGATGATGAGGTCTGTTTCCTTTGTACATCTGAAGACCACCGCTGAACGTCCAGTGAAGATGTACAGGCCGTCTGCGTTGGGCTTCAGCCGTGGCCACAGGGTCACATTGTAGGAGACAGGTACGAGGGAGACCGGAAGTCTGTAGTAGTCCCAGGGCTCCTTCGGAGTGATAGGGGTGGTGGGGGGTGTAGGCATGCTGGTGCTGTTGGGTACTCCATCTCCAGGCTTTCCTTGATTCTTTGCTCTTTCCTTGTCGTAGGCAATGGACAGAGCTATAATCGTAGCCAGAGCACTGGCTGCCAGAACAAGCATCCCAAGGCCCACATTTTTACTGACATAGTAGACTTTCCCCATGTCTGACTCAGGAGGTCAGAGAAGAACTCTGAGGACTCTCAGTCTAAGTTTGTCCAGCACAGCAGGTCTCTTCCCTCCTCAGTTAATGGTTGAGCTATTAGCATGGCAAAAAACACATTTTCAAAACACCTAGGGAGAAATGGAAAGACCTTGGTTATTTAGTCTGTAACTCAGCTGGTCTTCGTAAATTCATGAATGTCATGATACACCGTGTTATTCAGAACTGGCATTGTAATTTCATTGTTTCTTCTGTACAGGGCCCTATATACAAGCTGTGGGGCCACTTCCTCTCTTGTTCCTTGTCTCTCATGCATCTTTTGAAAAATGTTGACAAATGATTAAGCTAACAACCGTACACATTAAACTGTGATTAGGGTAGTCAGTGATGAACAGTTCTTACCACATTTACACAAGTAATAACAAGGGTATTACTTTGTGTTGAAAAGTGGTGGGGAACATAAGGGATAAGATCACGAGACGTGAAGATGCATAAGAACAAGACGAGAAGATTTTAACACTATTTTGAAGAAATATGAAATGCTGAAGTATATGAGTCCTCCCCCAGAAAACTGGAGCATTGAACACTTCCTGGAGTTTTTTTTATATAAAGGGAAACAAAGCATTCAGCTGGCAGGTGACAATTCATAAACATAAAAATATAAATATTAAAGAATATAATGCAATAATCAGCAGCTTGTTTTTTTACTTCTTTCTTTACTTCTTACTTTTGTTGGAGAATGCACATTTGTTTCTTCTATTTAACAACATTTCTTGGCGCAAGCTGTTTTTCAGAACATTTTTAACAAATCCTTTCAAAAAGTGATTTCAAAATGTGCTGGGGATATTTCCCCATCCTAGTGACACCTATGAGTAATAATAATCTGTGATTTGTCTGAAGTCTGCACAGTTTGAAATCTCACCACATTTCAACTCTCTTTTCTCAACTTACTGTATCCTACAATTACTTTACTATGGTTAAATGAGGTTTGCTATGAGTATCATGCTTAAAATAATATTATTTTCTTCATGTTTATTGAAGCATTCATCATTCCCAAGGTATAAGACAATGCTAAAAAAAAAACCCATCTTAGTAGCCCTACAATGAGAAAATGCTCACTATACTACATAATAAAAGACAACTGAACAAGACTTTACAAGTCATATTTAAATTGCAGAAACAAGAAGCCAAAAAAATCAGCTTTCAAATAAATGATAGCCTTTACATTGCTGTAGAATTTCAGTACATTTAATCTATTTTTGTGTCCGAGCCCATAGTGTAAGTTAGCGGTTCAAAGCAAAATAATTAAAACTCTAGAAAGTTTAATTTATAATGGTGATAATAACAACAATCTACAAAGTACAGTATCTCAAACAATTTATTCAGCCATTTTAACTTAGTTATGAAATTACTTGCTTAGAAATAAACATTGCAAACAAAAACAAACTTTTCATTCCAGGATTTTCAAGGGACCTCCTTCCATTGGGGCCCTGGTTAATCAGTCCCACTTGGACTAGCACATGAGATAATCAGACAGAACACACACAGCCAAGCAGGTGACAGGAATCAGGGAATTAAACAAATGGAGAACAGGCAGACAGAAACCAAGCATGAATCAAACACCAGACAACAGACGATAACAATAAACCAAGGCACAGATCATGATCATGAGAAAAATATAACGTAAATGAAAATATCACTTTATGCAACGTCAGCAATCAGTAAAAAAAAAAAAAATTAGAAAACAAACAATAAACCAAGAGTGCCAGTCTGATGTATATGTGTTTTTGCATTAATGTAGTGGAGCAGGATTTTCATACATGCTAATATTACAAATATAATGACCAGGATGAGTGCAACAGTGCTTTTAAGTTGCGCAGCAGGCTGACGTAAAAAATTTTTAATTCTGTGCCCGTGCTGTCGATTGATGTTTTTGCACACAAACTGGTCATTTCCCTGACCCTGTCATTTCCCTGCTAACTTCCTGTATAGCCTCGTTCAGCATTATTATTGCTACTAGCTGCCCGTTGGAATTTGTGTCATGTTGGCTAGGCACAACTAACAGTTCTCTCTTTAGTAAAACAATAACCAGCAGTGTAAATGATGGCCATAACAATATCTGGATTAGTTTATGTCCAACAACAACAATCACAGTGTGACTTTACAAAACAGGCTCGTTAAGCAACATTTACAACTGAATATTATCAGTCTGACATTTTTATGTAGCCCTAACTGATGCACTATAGACCATAAATGCTTGAATAAAATAACTGTTTCAATGGAAAGTCATTAAAATGTATTAATTCTCTAAAGGATCATTTGTAGGACCTCCATTTAGTTTGTATCCTGGAGGCTTTTAAGTTTATTCTCAATGAAAGAAACTGCATACTGAAGAATGACAAGTTCATAGCTTATTTCCATCTCCTTATCAATAAACATCAATTAAAGGCAAGAGACAATGTCATGGGAAACCAGTGGCTTCAAAGCAGCTCAGACTCAAAAACAAGGTACAAGGTAGATTTATTAATCATTTTACAACACAGGGTTATATAACAAGATGATGGTATCCTGCTTGACCTATCAGCTGACTTTGACACAGTCAATCACAGGATCCTGCTATCCGCATTCTCAGCAATGGTCATCTCAGGCAAAGCACTCCTGTGGTTCGAATCCTACCTTTCGGAGCGTTCCTGCAATGTTTTGTGGCAAGGACAATTATCTTCCTCCCGCTGCCTATCCACAAGGGTGCCCCAAAGCTCGGTGCTAGGGCCCCTTCTCTTCTCAATTTACACCACCTCACTGGGGCTGATCATTTGCTCGCACGGCTTCTCTTACCACTGCTATGCAGACGACAACACAGCTCTACTTATCCTTCCCGCCCGACGACCCCAGCGTCTCAGTGCGGATCACGGACTGTCTCTCGGACATATCTGCATGGATGAAGGCTTGCCACCTTAAACTAAACCTCTCTAAGACTGAACTCTTGGTCATTCCAGCCAAGCAATCTATCCACCATAACATCAAACATAAAATTGGTTCCTCAACCATCACTCCAACTATGGTGGTGGGAAACTTGGGTGTCATGATTGATGACCAGCTGTCCTTTTCAGACCATGTTGCTGCTGAAAATCAGGCCCTACCTCACTCAGTATGCCACCCAGCTTCTGGTACAGGTCATGGTTATCTCTCGCCTCGACTATTGCAATGCCCTCCTAGCAGGTCTTCCAGCTTGTGCAGTGAAACCCTTACAAATGGTTCAGAATGCAGCGGCGCATCTGGTTTTTGATCAGCCCAAAAGGACTCATGTCACTCCATTACTGAGTAACCTTAACTGGCTTCCCGTGGCCTCCAGAATCAAATTCAAGTCACTAATGATTGCATACAGAGTGGCTACTGGGTCTGCACCCGTCTAACCTAAACTCCATAATACAAGTTTACGTTCCTTCTCGGCCACTATGCTCCTCCAACGAAAGCCGTCTGGTTCTGTCATCCCTACACACTAAGCAATCTCAGTCCCGGCTGTTCTCATCTGTGACACCATGATGGTGGAACGAGCTACCACATGCCCTCAGAGCAGGGGCGTCCCTCTCTAACTTCAAGAAGCTCTTGAAAACTCATCTCTTCTGAGAACACTTCCTCTTATAACACCTCTAACTCCTAACCTCTAACATGCACTTCCTGTGCTCTTCTTCTTCTATCTCCTACAATTATCTTGTATTGAATGCACTTTTTGTTAACTCTAACTTATTTCCCTAGGTTTTTGAGCCCATTGATGCGATATGTGCTATTATTACTAGTATTTATTAGTGCTCTTACTAGTATGTATTGTCACTTGTAGTTGTTCTGTATTTGATGCTCTGTTGATGCTTGTGTATTTTTCCTCAAATATAAGTCGGTTTGGATAAAAGCGTCTGCCAAATGACTAAATGTAAATGTAATGTAAGTTGTATTTCCCTTTATGCTACTCACAAAAAGCGAACATTATAAACAAAAATTATATACACTTGATGGGTGGATAACATGTCATAGAAATTAAACTATTTTACATGGTGCAGTGCTGCGGATTAATTTAGAAGTCTCCCAGCTTGAGGAAAGAAGCTGCTCTGCAGCAGGGTGAACAGGCTGTGGCTGAGGTGGGTACTGTCATTTAGTATCCTTTGGGCTCTGCATAGGCACCTCACCTCACCGATATCACTGATGCTCAGGAGATGGGTACCAATGATCTTCTGAGCTGTTTTAATCACCTTCTGCAGAGCCCTCCGGTCCTGGGCCGTGCACATCCCATGCTAGTTTCCAATCAGGAAGCTTTCTATTGTTCCTCTGTAAAAACTGACAAGAACTTGGCACGGAACTTTGTCGTGGTTTCTTTAAGTGTATTCCCAGGAACATGAAACTGCTCACCTGCTCCACCTCAGCACCACTGATGTAGACAGGAGTTTGTATCTTTATCTCCCGTTTCCTGAAGTCAACGATCAGCTCCTTGGTTTTGCTGACGTTGGTCAGTAGGTTGTTCTCTGTACACCAGTCTGCAAGACTATCAATATTCTCCCAATATGAAGTCTCATTGTTGTTTGAAATGCCGCCAATGATGGTGGTGTCGTCCGCAAATTTCACAATAGAGTTGTTTCCATATTGGGGGATACAGTTGTGGGTGTACAGCGTGATAAGGAGGGGGCTGGGCACACAGCCCTGGGGGGTTCCGGTGTTGTAAACTAGAGTGGAGGCCATCAGTCTTAACTTTCTGAGGTCTACTTGTGAGGAAGTCCAATATCCAGTTGCAGGGTGTGGTACTCTTGCCCAGAGTACTGAGTTTGCAATCAGTTTAATGGGGGAGATTGTGTTGAAAGCTGAGCTGAAACCCACGAACAGCATTCTGATGTAGGTGTTGTGTTTCTCAAGGTGTGTGAGGGCTGAGTGAAGGGCAGTGGAGATGCCATCTTCTGCAGATCTGTTGGCTCTGTAAGCAAACTGGTCTGGGATGTTGTTCTTTAGATACTGCAGAACCAGTTTCTCAAAGCACTTCATCAGAATAGGGTTGAGTGCCACAGGGCTTCAGAGTCAGACTAGACACTGCAGATTTTTACGTACGGGGACGAAGCTGGTCTTGAAACAAGTGGTGTGACAGTGATATTTTAAAAAGGTCAGTAATGACATCAACTAGCTGAGTACAAAATCCTGACTGTGCGACTTGTGGTGGTGAAACATTCCTCCTTTCCTTCCTATGTGATAGCATGTACAGATGTTTCCTCTACACGGTCATCATCTAACATTCAACCATGAGAAACACCCAGAATCGTCAGCAATGTCAGGAGATCTGTCAGCTGTTCATAAGCCGGTGTTGGCTTCGTCAATAAAAAAAATTCTTTTCTACATTTCTCTTAAACAAGTATTTTATAAAAACTGTTTGATGATCACATTATTTTAGGGTAAAGAAATATCTATTCAATATTTGCTTAAACTTATTGTATTTATTTTGTTGCGTGTCAAAGTTCATTTTTGACCTTGAACATTGGCTGAAGTTGTGTACTCCTCATGTGGTGACAACCACATCTCCATGACAACTGAGCAAACTTTATCTATAGACTGTGAGTTGCTGTTGTTGAAAGTCCACAACTCACGTTCCTGTTAATGATTTAGTAACATTTACAACTGCAAAATGTGATTTTTTGACTTTCTAACAAGCTCTTACACTAATGCTTGTCAGTGATTATGTACTGGGAATCTTATTATTATCCACCAACACCTCTTCCAGCAGTAACATAGTTTTCCCAGGAGGTCTCCCATACAGGTACAGGCCATGCCCAAACATGCTTAGCTTCAGTCATTCAGCAGTAGCAGGGTTTAGATTGACATGGCAGCTGGCTTCTCTCAGTTTTTTTAATCCTGGGCATGTCTGGCTTCCTGAGTTGCCACTAGCTGCACCTGCTGGTAATCACGCACCTGTTCCTGATCTGCCATCCCTACCTCTTCTTAAGGAGAGAAGATTTCCCTTGTTACTGGAATATGTGGAAACAAGTTTACCTTGGCTGACTGAAGCTACACACAGTCTATGACAATCTTGTGATAAAGGAACAAAGCTTTTAATGAAAAGATAAGATTTCATTCTAACCTGTCTTGGTATTGCAGCCTATTACTTTCCGTAGAACAATAAATGAAGCAATCAACATCTGGCAACTTTAACTTTGATTGGCTGAGCAAGATGAAGTAGTACCAGGCACATTTTATCAGGCTTATCTACGATTTTATTAGGAAAGACGCCAAGGCTGAAAAGATCAATGAGATCAAGAAAAAAACGACAAAAAGAAAAATAAATCCTCCACAGTCACTGTAACTCAACACCCAACCGGAACAGAACATCTGGAAATGATGGATCTGAATCTAATTAAACTCTTCAGACTAAGCAGACACAACTGTAGATGTTGTAGGACCTCTTGGTAATACAAAACATGCTCTCAGCCATATGTGTTTTGCCATGCAGTGCCTGAAGTAACAGCGCTGTAGTAATGTCCTGTGTACACACAAAGAACTATTAACCAATGACTTTTTATACTATACTATACTTCCCCACAAATGTAGAAAACTGTAACTGCAGAAGCAGAGATGTTGAGAAAGGGGGTTTGAGATTTGTTTTGTTATTTTTTTTAGGCTGGATGGCAAACAAATAGATGTTTAGCTTTATTATTTTACACAATAAAGTAATTTGAACCTACATAGTAAGCTACCAGTAAAATGTACAGTACTCTGCCCTCTGGATAATCCTCACTGAATGCAAGTAGAAAATACAAATAGATTGTTTAAGAGAATAATTTGAACAGTTTATGGGAATTAAATGTTTGCTAGGCGTTTCTCTGTTCAGTTATTATTAATATTTATATTGAAATCAACACAATTAATTAATAAGCAATGTAGTACATTGCATATGTGATTTGAAGGTAGCTTAACCAAATCACATGAATTTATTGTGAGTCAACAGCTGAGATGGCAGCTACTGAGATCTGCTAAGCTAGTTGGCTTTAGCAGGAGGATTTAGCCTCAGCCTCATATAGTTATGTGGAATGATGTGACAGTTCATTAAAATAGTAAGTAAAGTAAATTTAGTTATGTTATGTACATTTAACTTCTTTGTGATGGGTTCCACAGTTACTGTTGTGGCTTGACTTTTGGTTCTGTTTTGCAGTTTGCACAGAAATTATACATCACTACAAAAGATCTTCAACTGGTCAAATACGTTAGTTACTACAATTTGCTTTTGCAGGGGTGTGTCTGTTTGAAAATATGTGAAAAATAATTTAAATTGCTAGATTTAAGATTGGTTACTACAGGGCTACATATACAATATCAAATCTTAATCTAACAGGTGCAGTCTGTGCTAAAAGCCTAAAATATTATGTTTTTCAGGGTGAACCACTATCAATCCGTGAAATGGTAGTAAAAGTAGAATAATTCTGCTTTTTGAACAGAACTGTGAATTACTGGTGACAAGACTTAAAATTGTGGTGCCTGCCTTCTTACTGTAAATCTTAGATTGGCTGATTTTTTTTCATCATTTATCTGGACTCTCACATGGCTATGTTTCTTGCTGGGATCAACAAAGGTAATCTTATCTCAAGAATGTGAAGGTAAAATTCATTTTAATAACTTTTTTGCATTATCATCCTAGCTACACATGAACCTGTGACCTACGCTATCTGCTCTGTGTGCTCTCCCCTCCACACTGTACTGATAAGCTTCAGCCAGCTGTGGGAGCCGGAAAGTTTACGTCCAATACAGCCCATGCTGGAACAGACAGCTCATGCACAGCACAGCCAACAAATCAAACTAGGACTCTGAGTACATGATTAATTATCTCCTAGTTAAAACAACAAGTGCTGTTTACTGTTTGCACACCACTGAAATAGTGGTTACAAGCCTCGTTATACGGAGATCTTTCATTTGAACTGAAACCAGTGAAATCATATGAGGCAGAAAGAGAAGCAACAAAGACTCAAATGCTGGTTTGTACTTTAAATTTTATAGGCCAATAATCTTTATTGATCATTGTTTTTCATTATCTGACAGTGGATATATTCTGACTATACTGTATTTATACACCACCTTTGAACAAGGATCTTTTTGTTGCAGAACAATTTTAAGAAACCTTCTCCAGTGTAAAAGAAGCAGTGCAACATTGCACCACCACCACATGCCAAAAAGCTGTAAAGCTAATACACAGGCTACTACTGTACTGTTGCTGTCAAGTAACAAAACTTAACACAAAAGGACTGACCTGGCATGCAGCACGTTGGATAAATGACCATGTCAAACATTGGGAAAACAGTACATACCAAACCCTGTGTGGCTGGATGTCCAATGCAAACCCTGTTTTAAGTCGGCATCAGAGGCAGAAGTTGAGCTGGAATGATCCTGGCTGATGTGCAACACTCACAGTCTGCATCTGTGAGGGTGGGATGTAGGGAGGGAACAACTCAACCTCAATCCCCTGCCCCGCAAAAATCCCTAAATTAGTGGGAAGGGGGGCTGAAAGAATGTGGCTGTATCAACAACACTGCAAACTCATTGTGAAAGGAAGTCAGCACATATGGTGCATATGATCCGCAGAAGTAGTGTTCGGAACAAGTTTGACATGACGGCTGACCACGGCCTGGTGACACTCAGCTTAACTGGTGACGCATAAGGAAAAGGTTGCTGTGAAGGAGTTGGTGCACAACAAAGCACACTCACAGGGATTTGCTTTTTCCATTTATTTTATTTATCTTGGGGCCGAATGTCTTTGACACAGAAACATTGGCCTTCATTGAGAGGCTTGACAGGACTTAATGGTAAAACTCTTAATGAGGCTTAAATGACAATCTAATTCTATGTGGCCACTAAATACAGCCAATAAGACACAGACACACTTTATACAAACACTTAAAGAACCAAAAAAGGTCATTGTTAGTCTGTTGCTTCTCCGAACAGATGTTGGCAAGATACTACCACAGCACATTAAAACTTGGCTAGAACTAAACAGCATTTGCATTTGCCATACTGGGCACAATCTGCACCCGGGAGAACAATAATATTATTCACAAATCACAAGGGTGTCAGAGACACGATATATTACAGAGAAGGAAAAATAAACTATGACAAGAGCCAAGCAGACGGGTCTAATCCCTGCAATGTATGGACACACACACACACACTTGGAACAGATGACGAAGATGTGTTTGAGTAATTACAGCCGAATACAGGAGCCAAAAGGATCTTATTACTGTGAGCTGTGCCGAGTCCAAAAGCTCACTCTAGGCAGGGAACGTTTTCAAACCCTAGACAGGACAACTGGTGATGAATGAGAGTTTTAGAAGTGTTGTGGAGGAAAAAGATGACTGGGCCAACACAGTTCATTTTTCTTTTGGAAAGAGTAGGAAATCAATTGAAGAAATAAAAAATAAAAAATAAAAAAATAAAAGACACAGGAAGAATAGCAGAATACACATAGATATGAATATTACTCTTGGTGCTTTATAGAATCAAACTTTACATTATTGTGCAAATCCTTCAACTGGAGTAGTCTGTAAATTGTACACAGCAGAACTCAAAAATAAATCACAGCTTATCTCCCGTTCATGTGAAAAGATTGAGGAGGAGAAAAAGCTGCTGTGGTTCCATTATACATATATAAAACAGTTTTCCCTGTATTAACAACAGAGCTGGGTGGAGGGGAACTGCATCAGTAGCACACCAGCCCTGCAGAGCTCAGCTGGAATGCTGTTCAGAACGGGGAGAGGCTCGGCACTTTGATATTGATGTCTCCGATGTTGATGTTGCGGGGAATCTCGGGCAGGTTCATGTTCTTCACGGCAGAGACGGCGCGAGCGGGGGCCGCCGACAGACCTCCCTGTCGAAATAAAACAACATGGTAAGCAAATTTAAAGCCACTGTGTGTGTCGTAATCTAATGGGATTATCTCCTCTGTGAAATAATTGGCATATGGCAAACTCCTGTATGCCTACTATTGTTATTATTATGAAAGTAGGTATTTAGGAACCATTCTGTACCAGTGGTTTTGCATGTTTTAGTCCACTTACAGCAGATTCAGAATACTTTGCTGCCAAAGACTTTAAAAGCGTGCCATTAGATTAAGCTTATTATCAGTTTTGACAATATTACCATTAATGTCACTTTAGTGCTGTTATGGATCTGTTAACTGAAAATGCTTCCAAAACCGCAAACAAGTTGTTTTTACACTTTTTGTACAGATTAAACAACTGTGAAACAATGTGTTAATTAGTGAGCTTTACAGGTGCAGGTAGGTGGATTTTGTTGCCAGGTCAGCTGTTTCTCCCCATTTGACAACATTCATGTTTCGCTTTTGTTTGTTTTCAGAGTTTCATTTTCCATCAACACACAGTGGCTCACGAATGTGATGCTTTTTTGGAGCTTATTCAGGTACATACAAGCCTCCCAAAGGTACGCGAATGCAACAGTGTATAGGCCTGATAATCATCCTGAAGCGCCATTTCAATTAATTCATTCATTCAGTCCGACATTATGTTCATGTATAGGGGAGTTCGTTTGTTTTGCCCTAACCAATCTGTAGCGAGTAACATGAGTCCTGCAGTCAATGATTTCAGTTGACTAAGAAGCGATTTGTTAACAGGAAGAAGAATGCATAGATCGCCTGGTTCTGCTGCATCGATTCCTGTTTTCCATCGTGAATCCGACAGTGTTATAAGAGTACAGAAATAAATCTGTAAGTTGACTTTAACCAACTTGTGCAGCTGTGTCATTTTCATTTACCCTTGTCTTTATTTTTCATGAATTTAGCTGGCTAGCTATGTAGCACATTAATCTATCCAAAAACATGATACACATATGTTACACATTTAAAAATAGCCAGCACTAGTGGGACCTAGGTCTGGGCAATATGGCATGAAATGTTATCATGATAAAAAAAATGTCATACCATTCGAGATCGATAATTGTTACGATAAATGTCCAAAAAAAAATTTCATGGAAAAACAAAATGGAAGAAACCAGATTGTTAATTGTGTAGCTAAACTTTTCTTTAAGGCCAGAACATGAAAAACAAATTAAACAAACCTCATAACAAATATGAGGTAGAACATTCAAAACAATTATGAGAAAATCTTTTTTTCAACAAATATGATTAGTAAATCTTTTTTTCTACAATATAAATATCTTAATAGAAAATTTGTTTGTAATGCAAATGAATTAAATCAAATGATTATTGACAATATATTTGTTATATTGTTGTTGAGGAAATTATATTGCGATAATTATCATTATTGTTTTTTTGCCCAGCAGTAGTGGGACCTAAAGCATGCAAAAACACTGGCACGGTCCTTTAATGTGGTTAACAAACTGACCTCTGACTTCTCCATGCGGTTCTGAACTTCGACCTGGGCTACGATCTCATTCATGTTGGTCTCCAGCACCATGCCTCCCATCACCACCTCCTGTAAGATATAATGGACCTACAGACAGATATAACACAGAAGTTAATACTCTTTTTGCATGCATGCTTGCTTTAACTTCGGATTAAGGATAAATTGTCAAATTCAATATTAACTGGATCCGCAATACAGCCACACATAACTGTTTTGAGGCGATGTGAACTTCAGTACTTTACAATCCTTTCTTGTTTAGCAACTCAGCTCATACCAAATGATACAGAAGGGAGAAGTGCAAAATCTAATGGCGGAAGACCCGGTCCTCTCTGAAAGTAACTAGGAGACAGCTACAATTTATCTCTTATGTATAGATTTGTGAATTCTTGTGGGCAGAAAATATTTTGGGGAACTGGAAACAATCATGCTTGGAACCACTTTGAAATCAGCAAGGTATCTTCCCCCCATTAAACTGTCATCCTGAATTTTCTGTAGTATATAATGGCTGCATGAAATACATGAGGGAAAGGAGTTAAAACTGAAGAAACAGCTTAAATCTGTAATTTATTCACCTGTCCACCTGTGTAATATTAAGTTTGGTTTAAAACCCAGGATTATGTAAAAATCTTCTGAGAGCAAAACATTTCCAAGTTTCATCTGGGAACATTCCTCAGGCCAAACCCTACTGCACCACATGACATCAATTTCCCGCTGGGAAAATTCAATCAAGATGGCCGTAGATGTGTCTGATTAGTTTCCAGCAACACTTCCAGCTCAGCCCCAGGGAGAGAAAAGGGGCCCATCTGTAGCCTGAACAATAAAGAGCTTCATTCTAAAAAGGAGTTTAAATTATTTTAATACAGCATCTGAAAAAAACCTTAAACACACTTTTTTTTTTTTAAATAATCAGTCCTTGCTGACATCTTAATTTCAAAACAAAATGCAGCCCTCGGGCACTGAGCACTCTCTCAAACAATTACAGCAATACAGCTGTTCCTGAAAAGCAGCTTCTGTACAGAAGAGACAAAAAACACACGACTACCACACTGCACATTACTACAGAATTATCACTCTTCAGCTTATTCATTGATGCAAAACCCTCCCTCATCTGAACGTTTTATTGAATATGAAAAACAAAACCATTCATAACAAACTGCTGTTATGGAGTTGGCACATGTACAGTAGACATACAGTGGGGAGAACAAGTATTTAAAACAAACACAGAAAATCACATTGTATGATTTTTAAATTATTAATTAGCATTTTATTGCATGACATAAGTATTTGATACATCAGAAAAGCAGAATTTAATATTTGGTACAGAAACCTTTGTTTGCAATTACAGAAGTCATACATTTCCTGTAGTTCTTGACCAGGTTTACACACACACACACACACACAGGCAGGGATTTTGGCCCACTCCTCCATACAGACCTCCAGTTCCTTCAGGTTTTGGGGCTGTCGCTGGGCAATAAGGACTTTCAGCTCCCTTCACAGATTTTCTATTGGGTTCAGGTCTGGAGACTGGCTAGGCCACTCCAGGACCTTGAGATGCTTCTTCCTTACTTGCCCTGGGTGTGTGTTTTGGGTCGTTGTCATGCTGGAAGACCCAGCCATGACCCATCTTCAATGCTCTTACTGAGGGAAGGAGGTTGTTGCGATACATGGCCCCATCCATCCTCCCCTCAATACGGTGCAGTCGTCCTGTCCCCTTTGCAGAAAAGCATCCCCAAAGAATGATGTTTCCACCTCCATGCTTCACGGTTGGGATGGTGTTCGTGGGGTTTTTTTTTTTTGTCTCAGACCACATGACCTTCTCCCATTCCTCCTCTGGATCATCCAGATGGTCATTGGCAAACTTCAGACGGGCCTGGACATGCGCTGGCTTGAGCAGGGAGACCTTGCATGCGCTGCAGGATTTTAGTCCATGACGGCGTAGTGTGTTACTAATGGTTTTCTTTGAGGCTGTGGTCCCAGCTCTTTTCAGGTCATTGACCAGGTCCTGCCGTGTAGTTCTGGGCTGATCCCTCACCTTCCTCATGATCATTGATGCCCCACGAGGTGAGATCTTGCATGGAGCCCCAGACCGAGGGAGATTGACCATCATCTTGAACTTCTTCCATTTTCTAATAATTGCGCCAACAGTTGCCTTCTCACCAAGCTGCTTGCCTATTGTCCTGTAGCCCATCCCGCCTCGTGCAGGGCTACAATTTTATCCCTGATGTCCTTACACAGCTCTCTGGTCTTGGCCATTGTGGAGAGGTTGGAGTCTGTTTGATTGAGTGTGTGGACAGGTGTCTTTTATACAGGTAACGAGTTCAAACAGGTGCAGTTAATACAGGCAATGAGGGGAGAACAGGAGGGCTTCTTAAAGAAGAACTAACAGGTCTGTGAGAGTTGGAATTCTTACTGGTTGGTAGGTGATCAAATACTTATGTCATGCAATAAAATGCAAATTAATTATTTAAAAAAATCATACAACGTGATTTTCTGGATTTTTGTTTTGTTTTGTCTCTTGCAGTTAAAGTGCACCTATGATAAAAATGACACACCTCTACATGCTTTGTAAGTAGGAAAACCTGCAAAATCAGCAGTGTATCAAATACTTGTTCTCCCCCACTTAACAGCCTAAACATGTAGTTATTTTCAACATTTTTGGATGAAAATAACAGCCTTACAGATGTCGGTTACTTCAGAGTACATGTTTCATGGCACAACACTGTGCAAAGTGTTGGCCAACTGAGGTGGAGGTGAACCACTTACACATGTACACAAATGAGGAGAATGAAACAGTGCCCGTTGAATTGAGTTTTGTCTAAGCTATTTAGTTGCATAAAACTCAACCAAAAAATATTAAGAAAGAGTGGCAAAGAAAATGTTCTTAATGTAGAAGTTCACCAACCACTGACCTCTAGCAGTAAATGACTACCCTCAGTTACTGCTAGAGGCTGCATCCTGCAGCTGCTACACAGTTCAAACCAGATTTTTCTTATAAAACTTTCATTGTGAAGTCTACACTGACATTCACATCACATGCACGAGTTTCAGGAGAGGGGTTGTCCCGCTGGTTAAAAACAACAGCGCAGGTTACATTATATTTACTCATTTGGCAGGTGCTTTTATCCAAAGCGACTTACATTTGAGGAACAACATACAAGCATCAACAGAGCATCAACTACAGATCGGTTATTCTGACACTGGAAATGGGCATGATTCAGCTTCATACTGAGCTGCCAATCCAAGTCAAAGCTACCGGTTTGCTTCTGAGCTCAACACCGTGGCACAAACAGTAGCAATGCGCAGAAATAAACACTTGAAGATGACCACTATAGAAAGGGCTCCGGCGTTCCCCACTTACCTTGTCCATGTGGAATATGAGGTCCAGTTCACAAACATTTTCAAAGCATTTATCCAGCGTTTCCACAAACACCTGCAATGGAGAGGATGTGGACAGTCAAATGTCTCATTTCTCTAATAAACACCTGTATGTAGAGCGTGAACCCTCAAATGCTATTAAACAAGATATTTGAGGTTATGATTATATTTGAGGGCATCACACTGCTGGATTGAGAGACCTCTCAAGCGGTCTTAAATAACTGGGAGAGTGAGAGTGATTCTCAGCTTTAAGAAATTTGATAACTTGCTTTTATATTAAAAGTAGGAGTATATTTCATGAATTCTCAGCACTTAAGACTAAAATGGCACTTTGACAAGCTTGATAAATACAGGCCCTGCTCATCAACATCGCGGATCGAGCACTCGGCAGGTGGTCCGTGCATCCCAGCTGCCGCAAGACTCCGGCAGGATGAGAGGAGGCGGACTCTTGTGTTTTACAGCAATGATGCTTGGTGCTCAAACGCAGTCAAGACGAGCATAAATGTCAGACTTTTTATGTGAAGATGAAACCATATTATCATCTTGTTGCTGCTGTTTACATTTACCCCAGACAGAATTCGAAAATGCATGTCTGTAGTAGGGCTGGGGCGAGTCGTCGACGTAATCGATTAAGTAAATACGTCGACTCACATTACGTGCGTCGAAGCGTCGCTGCATCCGTTGTTGTTGTTGAAACCAGATTTCAGCTCTGATAAATAAATAAAAAATCAGCAGCACTTAATATGAAAACTTAGTTGAGCTGTCTGTACGGCCTGTATTTGTGATCAGAATCAGCTTTATTACCAAGTAGGTTTACACATACAAGGAATATGCTTCTATATTAGTGTGTCATTGTTTACATTTTATATTTTACCAGCATTAAACGCAACCTGTAAGGAAGCAAAGGGTCAAAAATGATCCTAAAAGGAATCAAATGCAGCATAATGTAACAGAAAGGAGCTTGTTAAGTAAGTCAAGTGATTGTCTTCTTTTCAAACTTGGGAGTACTGTATGAGCAAACGCAGGGTGATAAGGGGAGATTTACAAACAAAACATTATTTATGTCTAGAAAGCAACTGAATAGAGTAGAAGCTGACCTGGATCAGGTCCAGAATGCCGAGTTCACTCTCAGATGAGTCCACGCAGAAGACAAAGTAGAGGGTTGCGTAGTGTCGGTAAATCAGCTTGTAGTCTGAGCCACCAATGAGACTGCAAGAAGAACAAAATGTGACTTTCAGGTCTGGCTTTATGCAGTTTGTATTTGTGACAGCAGGAAAGACACTTGGTTATACAATTAAATGTATGCTACAAAATTTAAAGTTGATTAAAGTAAATGAGTTGATTAGAGAAATAAATAGAAGTGGCCCGAGCCCAAGTCTACTCTTGTGGGTTTGCCTCCATCTAGTGGTTAAAGTGAAGCTACTGCAGCTGCTGATCAACGGCTCATCTTTGCTTCCAAGTGATGTCAGCTTCTGCAGTTTGCAACATCAAACCAAACTGAGAAAGCCCAAAAACAGTAGCCCAGGGTCTTTAAAGTTTTGTCAAAATGTCACAACACATCACAACTCAAATCACTGCTCTGCCTTTCAGTCGCTGCCAACATAAACTTAAAAGTCTCCAAATGTACGTAATCTCGTGTTTAACCGTCACACTGTGTCAGTCCGTCCATAAATATTTACATATGACAGAAACAAAACAGGTTCACTTGCAGCAGCTTGTCGGATAGTAGTGCAGATCTCGTATTATCAGACCTTTATATAGTATAAGGCGTGCTTAGTTATTCACTTTTATTTTATTACTCTTCCAGACTTTAAAATGCTCACTTATCTATCTTTGCATGGTGGAAAAAAAGGCCCTCTTTCTACCATAGCCTGGTTACTCAAGAAGACTTCTGTCTACTCACAATGTGGACAATTTGTAAAAATCATTCCTTTGTACGTGGCTTGAATGATAGAGAGGTATCTGTAATATAGATGATTTATATAACAATGGCAATTTTGTCTCATTTGCACGGTTACGAGCTGCTTACAATATTAATGCTTCAAGTTTTCAAGTTCAGATATCTACAAATTCGAGACGGTGTCAGAAATCGTTTGCCTGACTTTGACATCCTGGCCGAGCATGAGCCCCTGGAGGCGATAAACAAATATGACCCTGCTTCTCGTGAGGTGGTTTCTCTTTCCTATCAGATCCTACATAACAGAGCTCCGCCGAACACAGCAGGACTTAAACAGGTGTTGGCGGACGAGCTGAATATAGAAGGACTGGGTCTGGGATGAGTGTATGTGACTGTCCGACATAGTTTCATACAGTTTTAAATCTTACACTCACTTTATTATTGCAGTGGAAAGTGACACAGCTTTTTAGTGATGTTTCACCTGTTTCTAAATTGATGTAAGTCTATGATCAGTAATTAAACACAATGAAAGAGCTTCTTTCATCGTTTTTCAGTAGCTTTTGGGAAGCGTAGGGAACCTGATCCACTCATAGCTGTTCTGCTCATCTCTTGCCAGTAAGTGTGAAAACAAATGGGTGTTTTGTTTGGAATGGGGATTGCAGTTCAATCTTGCGAGTATGGAAAATTGACTCTGTACCCACGTAAGATTTGTGGCTGAGAGAAATGGCAAGTACATTACATATGGAGAGGCAGAGATTTTATAATGAAGATAGCGAAGACGTATTTGATAAGATCTGGGATCCTATTCTTAAGTTTTTCAGGGTAAGGACTATTGTGTCCAACGTAAAGCACCTTGCTGTGTATATTCCCTTTTTTACTATACATGTTTGCAGTTTTAAAGGAAAACTACTTAGTCTTTAATTTAATTATCACTGTGGTTATTGTTATTACCATGGATGTGCTGTATACTGTTTTGTTCTTGTATTTGTTATTATTCTTGCCATGCTACGCTAATAAACACTTTTTTCTTTTTTTTTTTTTTTTTTTAAAGAGAATCATAGCAAACAGCAGTACTTGCCTTCCGCCCTCCAAGAAGTTGCAGACGTTGTCGTCTCTTTTAGATACCAAATGGAAAGTCTCCCGAATGATCTGCTGCTGCATGTCCTCCGCCTGCAAGAAAACATGTTACACAGCGCCAGCCAGTCTAGGAACTGTAGTCTCTGTTTGGTTAATACATTCACTCCACCTTTATTCTAGTCATATTTTATTTTTAACATTTAGTGATGGAGTAGAAGCACCAAAGAAAGTTAAAAGAAAAAAAAAAACTAACTTATTTAAGCCTTTCTGAAGTTCCCACTAACACTAGATAACAAGTAGATAGATATTACTTTTATTGCTGGTGTATCAGGTTGTACTTTTTTCATTTTCAATAAAAATAAAACTATCCAATAAAGACTCATCTCCTCACAAATCTTTCTGTCACATTAATTGCCCATTCACTGACTTAATAATAGTAATAGTGCAGTGGATAAGACACATGCCTTTGGTGTGAGAGACGCGGGTTCAATTCCCCGTTGTGACACATCCACCCATGTGTCCCTGAGCAAAACACTTAACCCCAAGTTCCTCCAGAGGCTTGCGACCTCTGACTTATATGGCGGGGTACATCAATTTGGATAAAAGCGTCAGCTAAATGTAAGAGACAGTTTTGCTTAACTTAACAGCAGACTTTCTGGACTTATTGTTAATTCTCAATTATATTTACATTCGCTCCATTGTATTCTGTGAAAGATGTGGGCCTTTTTTCACCTGCAGCTATAAACTACGACATAAAAAGACACGTCGTCCAAAGTTAGTGATTACTACCTAACGTTAACTAATCAGATATGTTAAGTTAGTTGTAATGTAACGTTAAAGAGCATGAAAGTTACGTGTTTTATCTCTAAGAAATCGTCCCTATTCCATCCTTTTGATACTGCTAAGGGATGTGTACATTCTCAAAATATGTTAACGTTACAAAGAGAAGTCTGCCTGACTAGAAGGCACCTGAAACTAAAAAGTGGCCCGATCAGTTGTAACTTTGTTGTTGATCAACATTTTAAACAACACACACACAGATATTTGTATTATTTGTGGCGCAGGTGATGATGCACAAGCTGACAAAAGCTAATCCAACTCTGATTGCTTGCTAAATGAGAGTGAAGACATCAACAGAAAAAAATGCTAATGTTTTGAATAGCATCCCCCAAACATACTTACAAAATACTGATAGAATCTGATCAGCCGCGGTTTCCCGTGGTTGTTAAATATCAAGATGGCTTTAATCATCTCTGCTCTTTGGAGTTATCAAATCACACTATGAAGTAATTATTAAAATATTAAGATTTTGCCTGTTTAGATGACGTTAGCTAAAGTGCTATACGGCCTGTCAGCTGTCGGATGACTTAGTTGGTTACATCCGGTTGAGTCCCCACATTCAGCCGCCGACTTCTAACAAGCACCTCCAAAGTCTTTTGTTCCGGGCGGGCAGGTCATCGAGTGCGTTTACATGCGCACTAGTGTCCTGTCCCAGAATATCTGGTTATGATCAGGGAGTCCTCCCATGGGAACAGGATACTGTAGCAAGTGGATGCCTTATCGAAGTATCCTGAACATTATTTGTTGGTGCAGAACGTGGTGAGAAATCAAGACCATCTGCACACAGATGGCCAGAAAGCTGGATGCTATTAGAATCATGTAAACAGGGATATGAATGAATAGATTTCATATTCATTCTAAACAACATACTCCAAAAAGAGATCAAAGCTGGATATTTCATGTCACTGTTGGTGGATACAGTAAAAACATCTCCCAGCTGGACATTCTTTTGAAATAATATCTTTAAAAACTTTTTTTTTAAATGCATTGGAACAAGAGCTGTTCATTTTAACTAAATACATATGTATATTTATCTGTTTTGATCATAATGATTGCTTGCGACAGTTCAGCAGTTGCAGGATATTGCCTCCCTCCTAAATTCTACACCCTTGAATTTGATGAAAAATACTACAGTTTTTGGTCAATTAGAGAAGAGAAATTAGCAAATTATGAGCATGTTTTTTCCTCATGGAAGAGGGAATGCTCATCTTAGGACGACATACAGGTTTTTAACGCGTCCATTATGGGTGTTACTTAATCAGTTTCTACATACAATAAGTACAACAAAGAAAATAATTCCCCACTCAACCTACCTTATATGAAATCAGGTTAAGAAGTAATATTGAATGAATATGGCTTAAGAAATAATATTGATTAATTAACAAATATTAATATGGTTACCTATTGAGAAAAAAAGGTAGCTTGTGTACAACATCATACTTGACATATTCATTTAATGTCAAGTATGTTAAAACACCACATTTGTGTTTAGACAGAAATTCTTATGAAAACAAACAAACTGTCCGTTGTGTAAAGTCAGTATCCCATAAAGTTTCAACACCGATGAGGGTTTACAATGTTTCTCTTTTTCTGTCTTTCCCATGTGTCATCAGAAGTTCGGAGACTTTTGCCCGCCACATTACATAATGTTGCAGTCTTTGTGACTAATGCACCAGCAACTGAGGCACCACGTAATTACCGGACCCTTTGTACCTTTGTGGGCTGCTTCACACTGCCTTGAAATCTCAAAGCAGTGATGTCACACCAGCAGCACCTTTCTTGTGTTGTGATCTACAGCAATTAGAGAATCTGATCAAAAGCAAAATGTAACGTAGCAGCAAAATGTCTCAGAAATCAATGTTTGAAAAATGGTCTTAAGTAGACCGTCACCCACCCTCTTGAAAGAGCTTTTTCCCTAACCACATTACAAACTATGGCCTTCTTTACCAAGGTGGTAACCCTATTGAAAGGCAGAATTCTAATGAGGTGCATCTCAGCCTGTTGCTGTTCTAATGAATCAATTATCAATTAAGAATAATCATTGATTTAACAATCACATGTTGTCAAGTTTAATCAGTATTCTGTGAAAATTTGATAATACTATAATGACCGAAATAAGAATGTATGGAGTAATCCTCCGTACCTAATTAGGGTCATGGGGGAGCTAGGCAGGCAAACAGCAGTGATTTTATCTCATCCAGACTGTTTAGACTCTCCAGTCCACCTAGTATGTCTTCAGTCAGTGAGATGAAACCCAAACAAATTCCACAAAGATAGGACCAGAGTTAGCATTTATCTCCTGGACCTTGTAAGGCAACATTTCTAATCGTCAGCCCCGTGAAACAAAAACAGCATGGAGAATTTTCTCATGCGTCTAAAGATCTAAAGGCAATAGGCCTTCTTCAGTGAAGACATTTTGACATGCCACAAAAGGAAAAGCACCGGTGTAAATGCTGGCTGAAATGAGAGCAGCTGCTTCATTTTGACAGACAGTGTGCATGCAGCAGGCACTGGGACACTTGCGTAGAACAGAGCCACCGTTAATGTATCACCTTTGTTTTTCCTACTACGACAACTCAAATGTCTGCTGTCATTATGATCGTGAAGTCAAATTTACATCTTACCTTACATCGAATGCTGTGGAACACTGTCTTTTCTGCCATGTTTCAAATAGACAACAGTGATGTAAATTCCTATATATTTATATAACTGTAAACAAACATACTAACAAGTACTTGGTATTTTATGTTTTACATACTACACAAATATTCCTTGCAAGACCTCGCTTCTACTTTTGTGGAGGTAATGACTGGGGTTGAGACATGACAAAGCTTTTTTTTTTTTCCTGTTAAACCTTGCTTTATCCACAGGTACGCACAACAGATACTCCTTTTCACTAATGTCCTGCCCCACACATTTACAAACATTCTCACCTGGATGCTGCACCAGCAGTCATATCTGTTGACAAGTGGGCGGCTCCACAACAGATGACGTTTGAGTCTGTTGCTTAAGAGCACTTCAATGGCGGTGATGAGGGAGGTAGTCCAATTTAAATCTCAGCTGTCAAGATCTGCGTGGAGCAACGTGCAAGTATGCTAAATAAACCTTAGCTGTAGAAACAAAAGTTCATACCTATTACTCCTGAACAAGAGTTTACCATGAACTGTTTTAAGAGTTTGTATGCTGTAGTGGTGGTTACCAAAGTGTATGTGTGTGTTTATACGTATTCGTATGTGCTATATGATATTGGTAAACTATTTGGCACCAGTCAAAATCAATTTATAAAAGCAAACTATTTCTCAACACAGTGAGAATGTGCATTTCTGTGAAGGGCAGATGATACAAAACGACTTTTCTGAGGATTGACTGCTGTGTCATCAATATAGACCATCTACGGTTTATGGTGTAGACAAGTATCTAATTCAACCACATCATAGCTCACCTGTCAGATGGGGGTTCATCCGACAAAGCTGATTGTCTGTGGTTTAATGTCAGTCTATCTGGGGATTCTTGAACCACAACTACACCACTAATTTCAAACGGGGTCGGCCCACATCCGGCCTTTCTGTGTGGTCAGACCCACCAACATCCAAATGTCAGGCCACATTTCCTGTTCTGATTTCATATCCATTAATTCTCTGTTCTACCTTTTTCATCATTAGCGCTGCGAAGCCACCTGGGTTGTCGGTCTGCATATCATCTATTATTTCCCCTCTATATTCCCTTCCTCCCGCATGAGCACAGTGGAAAACAAACAGACGCTCATTAGCATGTGTGACCCGTTGGTGGTAAACAGGCTTATTTCCACATGAGTGCAGTGCGAGAATGGATTCCACCGGGACAGTCTAGGTAGGTGGGCCCGCCGGCTGCCTTCGTGGGGACTTTAATAGGGACTTAACAAATGCAAGTGGACAGGCACAACATTCTCTGGCACAGGGAGGTCATGTTGGTACAGTGAGCACTTGTTAGAGGGTGACTCACTGTATTTGGACTCTTGGGTGGCCACTGATATTCACTTCATTTTTAATGTGCTTTTTTTTTTTTTTCCCTCGGTGCTAATTGTGACGGATGCCGAGTGCTGTCTGCCAGAGCTGAGGTAATGTGTGGCGTTCAAATAATGCCTCTGTGCTCTGTGAAGTGAAGTGATGAAAGCGGCCTGTAATTACAGGGATAATCAAAACTGTCAGGGGCTCTTCTATGGGTGGTTTTGTTTACTGTCTGCTTCTCTCACAGCATCACAAGCCGCTGGCCCTACACTTCCTCAGCCTGAGCCGCAGACCTCAAAAGACCATTGCAACTGTACCTGGTTGTGCCTCCAACAGGGTAAAGGTCAGTGTGATGAGATGAGTTGTTTTAAAATCCCCACATATGAGGGTCGCAACTTTAACTGCTCACATGGCTTTATGACTTTATTTCCCCTCTTAGGTTTGTGGCCTTGTTTTTTGGAGCTCAATGGTGCAAAAAGTAATGGCCCCACATTAATGTTTTCACAGTTTTCTAGCAAATACTTGGCTGGTTTACTCCTCCCTCTTGTTTTATTATTTTACTCTAGATTAGAAGTCTGAAGTTAGTTCCTCTCCCCGCAAGATGGCAGCATTTCGGCGTCTTCTTAGAGGAAACCCAGAGCCCAATGTTGTAGTTGCTACCCATGGTTGCTACCAAGCTCCACAAGACATGACTGCATGATGGATCTGAGCGGCTATTTATTTAAAAAAACGTTATTTGTTAAAAATCATCCATATATTCTGTAACCCTAAAGTGGCTTTAGTTGAGTACATTTTGAATTGTGTCTTGATTTCTAAGGTATAATATTACAAGGCATGACGTTGGCCTATATTACAGAACATTAATGACAGTCAAATAGCCATATCATATCATACTGTAAACACAGCGATGATCACATATTATTATTTATGTCAAACAATGAGACAGATTTAATACAGACACGTGTCGGTTACTTAATGACATATAAATAGGGAGTGGCATTTGTATCATATATGAAGGACACAACATAGGCCAACGTTTAAAGACAGGCACACCTGTGTCTGCGTGGATTGGTGAAGAGGTTAATTACAGGTGGTACAGACAGACACGATCTTTGTATAGGCAGCCCTCCACGGCGTATTTGTGAGCAGCAAAACAACCCTGATCCTGGATCTCCATCCCGGATTTCCTTCGCACCGCGTCGTAAACGAAGTCGCTACGGCGGTGAGCAGAGAGAGGAAGGAAGCGCTGAGGTCTCACTCTGTCTATCTCCCCCCCGCCCCTCCCCCGGTCTGTTATGGTGATGATTTATGAAAAGATGCCCACATTAATGCTTTAGTCAAGCGGGACAGACACGTTTGTTTATGGGCTACAGGTAGATTAATGACGGTCCACTTTGTAGCTCAGTGTCTGGCGTTAATGTAGAAGGGAAGACGACGTAAGGAAATGGTCCCGTGTTGCAAATGATAAAGTAATGAGACGTGGCATCCTTTGCAAATATCGTCTACTGGTTGTTCTGTCAACGATACTGTTAAATCCACAGACATAAAACTGACCTTCTTGTGTTGGTAACAGACTAGTCACTATGGTAACTGTCCTCCTATGGTGGCGAAACTGCAGTAAGAGCGACGCCCACTTTCACAGACCTGAAGGCGGGACACAAGGCCGAGTGATTCATCTTCCGAAACAGAGACGATCTCTGCGCACGGCGCCGTGTTTATAGTGAACACGGCGGACCGCAGACTGATCGAAGGAGTCTGTGTGTAAACCTGTACATTAATCTGTCTAACTGCACTACCTGTTCAGCTATCTATCGATGGAGGACATTAGATAACCGAAGGACTTGACGTAAACCGGAGCAATAAGGTCAAATACTGAATTTTGCGTTGATATGAAGGTGAATTACAGCTACCAAAACAACGCGGTGAGTGTGTGCATGATGAGTGGCTGAGGAGGAGGAGAAGAAGGAGGCTGCGGTCTGAAACCAGATTTTATCCTGGATATTTCGAAACCATCGTCGTGTCGCTCACACGCGGGGGGTTTGTGTATCGATTAAATATGCTATTAAAATCCTAGAAGGTCTATTTCCATCCCAATTTTAAGGGGGTTTGACCAGTTTTCTGCCTCCCGAGAATCCTCCAGCGACGGGACGTTGAACGTTTTTTCCTCCAGACATGGAGTGTGAAGATGCGGATTACAGAGGAATCCCCACCGCTAGTTTAGCCGCATTGGTTTCATTATACACATCAACGCGGCGTTGTTTGTGGCAGGAATAAACTGAACTATGAGTACATCTTTTCTGGCGAGAGGAATAAATCGGTGATTCTGGAGCACGATTGGATTCCCATTGGGAAACGTGAGAAAACTAACGTTACCCTGCTAACCTGTATGTAGTTGCTATTAGCTCCATTAGCCGGCTAACAGCTAAAAGGTGCTGGTTGGATATTTACCAAATAAGAGGCTTTTTAATAATTCTGACAAGGTTTCGACCACGTTTCCTCCCCTCAACACACATATTCATAGGATTTTGGAGGATTTACTCATCCAGGAATGAGGTCTCGAATGGAAAGGAGCCGCTTGACCTTGTTTTGGGGTCTGATGCTGGGTCTGTCGTCCTGCCTCCGGCCCGCCACCGCAGAGAGTAAGTAATGCTAGTACTCCACACTACTACACACCAGTAGTACTCAAACACGGGACAGAAGGTTAGCTTTCATTACAGTGAAAACACCATATTATATACATATGAAATATATAGATTTAAAGAATGTATGAGGTTGTAGGATAACGTTAATCAAAGATTTGAATTTACGTACAGACATTATTGTACTTTATGTTTTATGGAGGAAATATTATTTTAAGTTTGTGGGGAAAGCATTTAACATGTTGATCTGTTAGCAGTGCAAATACTTGTGGTTTTAGTAAATACTGTGATATAGATTGTAGAAAGTCCAGCTGTAATTAGAAACACACCACAAACAATGAGTCACTTGTAAGTGTGTTGGTAAATACATTACCATGACTCAGCCAGTGGAGAAAGTCACTTGAGCTATATATAAATCACATTGTCAACTCTGAGTCACTGTGGTGAATTAAAGTCAACAAAAAGTGGAACGTATCTGTGATCTCAGCAGAAAACCACAAACACAAATAGAATTTGGGGAATCAAAAGGTAGGTAATTGCGTGAGCTTGTCTTCCTCTGCATCCAAAAATGTGTTATATTGTTTTAAAACAGAAGTGAGAATAACTTCTGCAAACGGTGTGTGCACACATAAGTCAGTTGTCCCTGCTTGTTCCATGACAAATATAACCCTGTATATACTTTAATGGATATTTCAACACAAAATAAAGTAGCACACATAGACACACACACACACACACGTGTGCACTCACATAATGTTTATTTTTAATTGTTGTATGTCACAGGAAGTGTCAGAGCATTGAGCTCTGTCTAAAGGTGTCACTGTGCTTTTTGTTGGCAGTGCAGTCATTCATTCTCCTTTACTTAAACTGGGGATACTTTGCCTGCTGCAGATGCGATGATCAGGTGCAGCAACATCCTCCCATCAGGCAAATGATGAGAACCACAGAAGGGCGAGGTTATAGGTTATAGTCAAACCTTAAACCATGGACGTAAACTGTACTTATTTGAAACTTTTGACAGAACTTTGAGAAGCACCAGTTGGTACTGCACGGATGGTTTAGTGCAAGAAGTGGGACTTTCTACTAACAAACTGCTGTATGGTAGCATATTGAAGCTTCTGTCAGCTTGTAAACCTTGAAATTTAATGAATTTAAAGCTTCTATATTTATTCAGATTTTCTTTTTATGTGTTGGCACCTGAAATTTTTCCATGTCTCCAGCTATACTGTAAACTAGGCTTCCTGATTCATCCCATTCATCATGACATGTTGGGGAGGGGTGGGTCGGGGGCTTGAACCAGGGTCTGGGTTTTAAAATAGAACAAGCCAAAGTACATTCGGACGCAAAACAGACTAAGTTCTGTTGATTGGAAAGAGTGAGGAGCTTGTGAACTGTGTGTCATGGGGTTTACTGTTAGCCCCAGTGGTCACAGGACAAACCTGGGAGCAGCAGAGAGGTTCTCCCATCGAAATCCTACATTTATTCTCACTCCAGTGTGGAGCTGTCTAAAGGTTCCTTGTGTGGCTAAACTCTTAGAATTCCAGCTGGTTTGCTGTATCAGTTGGGACTAATGGGCAGCTGGTAGGCTTGAGTTAACCAGGTTCAGCTCTGTTGCTGCAGACATGGAACCCATAGACTGTATAAAACAGGGACGTAGTGTCTGTGACATCGCCCATAATTTTCTGAAGAGTTGTTATGAAGCTCTGTGTGGGCTGCTTAGGTTCAGGCTGTTGCTATCTTGGCACTACTCGACTCAAGATAATGCAAAAATGGGCAAGAGATGGAGCTGAGGCGGGCCGAATGAAGCCTGGTTACAGAGCCACCTAGCAGCTAGCCACCTGAGAGAACACCCACCTGTCCCTGAAAGCAGCTACATCCTCAACTATGCGTAACTTCAATATCATTAAATGATTGAGTTATATAAAAACGTCCCCTGCTTAGCTGTCATGAATGGGGAAATTAGCCATAGAGACAAAAACTGTTTTTTGTACCTGGCTGTAAAGATGTTTATTTTTCTGCTGTACAGTTTTAACATATGGGGGTCAATGGATATCAACTCACTTTTGGAGCCAGCCTCAAGTGGCCATTTGATGAACTGCAGTTTTTTATTTATTTACTTATTTATACAGCCCTGGAGGTACCGCTTGGTTGAACCAAACAAGTTTAATCTGTCACGAATGATCTTTTGCTAAAGTTTCCCAGCGCATTATTTTCTTCTCACCTTGCCTCTCATGTGGAAAAGTATTCATGAATACATTCCCCCCCCTCGGGCAGTCTGTCATTTACAAGCTAGAACTGAGGAGTAAACAGACTTTCTGCAGTCTAGTGGCGGTGTTTTATGCACCAGCTTAGAGTATTGCTTCCTATTTCTTGTCTTATGGGGCTTTTAGTGGATATCCTCTGATTGTTTGCAGATAGTCTGGGTGCTGCTGCCAGCTGGGAAAAGGTTATCAAAAGTAGGGCTGGGCGATATGGCCTAAAAATAAAATCTCCGATTTTATTTACTTTAATTCAATTTACGATTTTTTCCGATTTCCCCCCCTACTTAAGGAAAGCAATAAGGTTTGTTGGTCAGTGCGGCTTTGTTCATCGCGGAGAGATTTTCATATTCGGCTGGATGTCTCTGTTTCAGGTGTTGGAATAGGTTTGTGGTGCTGCTGCCTTTCACTGCGATAGGCTTTAGGCAAATGTTGCAGCGTGGTGTCTGTTGTTCCACATCTGTCGCAGCAAACCCATACCAGTTCCAAACAACAGATGACTTTATTCCTTTCTTGGGAACAAACTTCCCGCTCTCACCGGTAGCCATTTTGTCGCTTGCTGTTGCTGTTTAGTGTATGATGTTGTCGCTATGGGAAACGAACACTACGGAAACCCCGGGGAGCCAAAAATGTGCTATTACACAAAAACTCGATTTACTTATTTTTTAAATCGCCCGCAACAAAAAATTCGAATTAATTCATTCAATCGATTTTTCGCCCAGGCCTAATCAAAAGTAAACATGTGATCTGGAGGTTCATCAAAGCTGCAGAGATATGCTTGTGTACTCAGCTGTTTAAAATGTGTCAGTGTAGAAGCAGAGGGAGGGGGAGTTATTAAGCTGTTACACCTGCCATCGGTATTTTCACTTAGCTGGCGAAAACAAGATTTTTGACCCCAAAAATTTTGTTTAGTATCTTCGGGATCAGTTCCCATGAAAGATGGGCATCGGGAGTTTCAGTGAGGCCACAGAGGGTGAAGCGTCGAGGCTGTGGGTGTTGGGATTGTATTAACAGGTATGCAACTCGCTGAGGGCTGCTGACAGAGTGCACTGACAAGTAGATTACAGAGAAAGACATAACCGCCGTACAAGCACACTGCCTGCCTTAAATCACACCAAAGGAATTTTATGATGGCTTACCAAAGGCTGTCACGTCCTCTCTAGAGAAGACTTAAGCTCACAGAATTGGCCGAAAAGCCAAAGGTTTTTAACCTTGTATTTTATGTGAGAACCAAATTATCCCCCCTATTAAAATGCTAAATGGAAAGAAAGGCAGATTTTTAGCATGGCACCCGTACAGCCCCCCCAATGCTAGTTAACATAAACTCAAATGAAACCCGCATCTTTAATAATTTAAGTTCATGGACAGCCGACATCAGCAGACACTTGGTGATGACCTGTCAGGCCTGTAGTGCAGCCACCGTCACTTGTTGCTTCATGTTCTTCATGCAGGTTTTAAAACCAAAATGTTAAATAGGATTTATTTATAAAGCGCATTGATAAACCACTATTACAATCGAAAGGATGAATAAGAGGGCTTTCTCCGACCTGCACTTTAGGACTGCTGTGACATGAGGGATTTTTAATAGCCATTTCATACAGGAGACGCTGGTTTGACCTGTGTCATTGTGTTGGTGTGATGCGGGTATAGAAAAGTTACTGTCTTTAGTGAAACTTAGTGTTAACACATCTTTTAGTGTTTTTCATGTTGGAGAGTTGGTCACTGGATTTCTTAATGTACAGTATCTTTCTAAAATAGCTGAACATTTCCTTTAGTTCCCCAAATGGAAAAGTACACAAAAAGTTTCTAAATGAATTATTGTCTTATATTGAAATATTGTCTCAATCTGTCTATTTTGTTTATAGTGTGTGTGTATATATGTGTTCTCTATACTGTAGCCTGTGTTTGATTTTTATTACTGTATTATTGTGTTATTCTATAAGTAAGCACATCGTGAGCACAGTACAATCAAATTCCTCGTATGTGTACACATACCTGGCAATAAAGATTCTGAAATGTTGGTACGAAATATTACCTCCCTCATCAACAGGTGACTGATCACTATTAAGGGGATTGCGGGTTGTTTTCTTTGTTTTAACACTTACCTGCAGCTTGCATTGTGTCTTAGCACCTTTCTTTCTTTGTGTAACTGACTCTAGAGCTGCTGTTCAGTGAAGAGTTTAGAGCTGCATGACTAAAAGCTCCTGGTTTGTTAGATATCATGTTCAAGAGTATCAGTCACAGTTAACAGTCTTGTTTATTTGAGGATGAAAACAAATATTTTGATATTTAGAAACCGCAAACAATAAACATTAAAATTAATCTTTTACAATCCATCAGTGAATTATAACCGAATGATGAAGCTAAAATCAGAACACTATATATATTTTTTTTTATATATTTTTTTGACTATATAAAATGGTGATAGTTGTATGTAGCTGGTAAGTTAGAGACCTTTCCCGTATTGCGATGTGTGTCATGTTGTGCTACGCCGTCAAACCGCATTAAGAGGTTTGGGGAAACTTCCCTTTGCCAGCAAAGAGGTTCAGGGTGTTCTTTTGGAAATTAAACTTTGTTCCACCTCGGTAGTAGTGTGGTTTCTGAAGAAACTCCACATCTGTCTTCGGGGAGCTACATATTTTTAAATCAGTACTGTCTGAAACTGATCTCACAGTGTTCTGCACTGAGTTATTTACTGATCTTGCATATTCACATTTGACATCAGAATGCATTTACAAAGCATACTTTATCGCCTTATTGTAATTTGTTTGGGCATTAAAAACAGCACTGTGCATTAATTATGACAAGATTATTACATATTACACTAATACTTATTTTCTTAGATTATACAGTGATGTGTACAGCTCGGGGGTGTGAAATCTAGTGTGGGAACATGGATAGCTGGCAGTACATTGCTTAATTTACACTCATTAAACCTTCAATACCAGCTCTAATGCTAAATTATAAAATGTAGTTAAGAAAACAACTAATTGTCTTTCTCAAAGCTCTCTGCGTCACATTCATACAGTAAAACTTTATAGACCGGCATTAAAGTAGTAGTGTGACAACCTGTTAGCTGGTAGGTGTGTTTTCCATGACTCACCGCCCTCCAGCTTTTGAAGTCTAAATCCTCCTCACAGTGATGTGCGATAATGGCCTCCATGTTTTTGTGGGTGCTGCTGGGGCTTCAGGCTAAGTATTGTTTAGAGGCATGGCACACAGGTGGGAGTAAAAGTTGGGAAGGCAAACCGAGTGGAGTGTTTGCCATCACCGATGGCCACCACCATGCTTTACCAAAGGTTTCCTGATGTGGGTTTGGATTATTGGAGGCCACATAGAATTCAAAGCAGGGCCTTTTTTTTATTTTTTTTAAATAACTTCTTTTGTAGTTGTTTTGGTTCAGTGTATTTCTTTGTCTAAATAGAATCAGTCTAACTGTCTCAGGAAATAACAAAGTACTACTCAAGAGGTTAAAAACCAAACCAATGTAAACACATCTATTTAACATAAAAACTGCATAAATGCAGGTTTTTACAATTTGTTCACATCAAAGGGCAGACAGCTCTCCTTTGTTGTCTCTCCTTTGATCAAAGGCCCAGACATTTTCACTTCTGCTGTAGATAACTCTGCAGTTCACTGGATCACTGTGTATGCAAAGACACAGGATGAGACTTTTCCTGGAGGGGGCGCTACACTGCAGTTACAGCTGCTGTTTTTATCCATGTTAACATCATGGTTCTATGGATGGCATCTGTCTGTTGGCTGGTCCGCTGCTATGGTCTAAACTAAAATATCTAAACAGCTATTAGATAGATGGCTGTGACATTTTACACATTCATGGGTCCCACAGGATAAATTCTACTGATGTTGCTTCGCAACTGCTGGCTAGGTTGTAATGAAATTTAGCACTGAGATCCATGGATTTCTTAACTTTCATCGAGCCCCATCATAAGGTCAAAATTTTAATTTTAAACTTAAAATCTGCAAAAATAATCCCATTCACACCAGCCTCAGCTGTACATTGGGTTTTGTGCTAACTAGCAAATGTTAGCATGCTAAAATAAGGGAGTGAACATGGCAAACATTAAACCTGCTAAACATTAGCGTGTTAGTATTTACGCTGAGCATTTTAGCATGGTGGCGTCAGCATTCAGCACAAAGCACTGCTGAGCCTCACAGAGCTGCCAGCTTGGCTGTAGACTCTTATTTCATGAGGAATGATGCCGCCATTGTCCTTGAGAAACCCCTATATGATTAATTTTGTCCTTTTTGTTTAACAAGTTGTTTTATCCCATATACTGTATTTACGCATAGTGGCTTTCATACTAGAATTGTTCCTTTAATGTCACTGTATTATGAAAGCTTGATAAGAGCAGATGGTGGAATGAAAAACTGTGGACACAAGAGCAACAGTAGCCTGAAGGCAGAGCAATGTAAACTTTATTGTGCCGTTAGCCTAAGCTTGATTAGAATCTGACTCAAGTATTTACTTTGTCGCGCCATGTGAAGTTGACATTGAAAATGAGAAGTGCTAGGCAAACATGTTCTGTCAGCAACAGCGCAGCTTAAGTGTACAGTCAATTTTAAAAATACATGTTGAATAAACCTGTCTTTGTAAGTATCCCTGTTTCAGGAGTAGAGAACATTTTTTTTATATATTGTTACATTTAACAGTTGTTTATTGCAAAGAGTTGGTAAATAAATTTATGAAATCTCCAGATCAGATCAACACGCAGGGCTGTTTGGCTTAGCCAAGATCTCATTTTATGATGATGACACTGTTATGATCCCTGTGGAGGATAATGCAGATCATGACCCCTCACCCTGTCCTTTCTTTCCCCTCCCCTGCAGTCTGTGGCCCCAGCATCGACATTGGCAACGACATCAGCGAATTCAGGCGTCTGGAGAACTGCACAGTGGTGGAGGGCTACTTGCAGATCCTCCTCATTGGTGACAAAAACAACAACATCAACCAGGAAGTCTTCCGCTCCCTCAGCTTCCCCAAACTGACCATGATCACCGACTACTTGCTGCTATTCCGTGTATCCAGCCTGGACAGTCTGAGCACACTCTTTCCCAACCTCGCCGTCATACGCGGACGCAACCTCTTCTACAACTACGCCCTTGTGATCTTTGAGATGACGAGCCTGAAGGACATCGGCCTGTACAACCTGAGGAACATCACCCGCGGCGCCATCCGCATTGAGAAGAATCCCGAGCTCTGCTACTTGGACTCCATCGACTGGTCCCTCATCCTGGACGCAGAGTTCAACAATTACATCGCTGGGAACAAGCAGTCCAAGGAGTGCAGTGATGTGTGTCCGGGCATCATGGAGAACAACCCTCAGTGCAGAAAGACTATGTTCAACAACAACTACAACTACCGCTGCTGGAATTCCAACTACTGCCAGAAAGGTAAGCTGACTGTCACACATGATAGCTCATCAGGGGTTTGAATTGCAAATGGATCGTGCAGACAGTCCTAGCCTTTGGCCTGATTTGTGTAGATGTGAATTTGGGAGTGTAATGAACGGTGCTGTGCCTACAGCTGTGGCCTGCTACCTGTCACTTTAACTGCTTTAGCTGGTGTGTTTTGGCTGGGAGGAATGAGGTAAAGCGGGGGGGGGTTATGCATGATTGACTTTGTCTGTAGATCTCAGGTGTTTATACAAGTTAAGAAAACATGAAGAAAGAGCTCAGCAGAGAGGTATCAGTTAAAGGGTAACTTTTGTATTGTTCAATCTGGACCCTATTTTCCTCTGTTTTTGTGACTCATGGGAACAAGATTTGTTTAAATTGTTTCAGTTTTGAGCGAGCGCGCTGTAGTCGGCAGCAGCAAAACAACACCATATTTAAAAAAAGAACAGAACTTAGCCTTTAAGACCGCAGTTTTGCCTCAGCCCATGTCATTGTTGATCAAGGTTTTCTGATGTGAGCAACTATTGGCTGTCAGATATTGTCTCTTTACTTAAATACACAATATCTTGTATTTTACAGTGGTTACCTGTAGTTTATTTAATTTTTATTTAACCAGGAAGTTCCCGGAGATTAAAATCTCTTTTAAGAGGGAGACCTGGCCATGATAGCACACCATTACAAGGTGACAAACATGATAAAATTGAGCTTGTCAAAAGCATACAAGAGACAAATACCAGTTTAGGAATAGATATTGCACTCTTGAGTTACAGTTGTTGTTTTTTTTAATCAGAGCTTTATATTCTCAGAGGAAGACAAAACCATTGAGGTGTAGTGTGTTCTGAAGGTTATTCCATGACCTGGAGGCAAAATAGGAGAAGGCAGCTTTACCAAGTTCTGAGCAAGTAATGGTGTGAAAATTATAATAGCCGTTGGTGAGTGACTGGAGATTTACGCACATATGAAGAGAGTTTACCCAGTATGGCTTTGTAAATACCAATATACCAATGCTGTTGCTGTCTGTTTAGACTTAAAGGAGATCAGATCACAAAGTACACACTGACATGTACAGAACAATAAGTTGGATATAAAGTAGTAACGCAGCAGCTCGCATGTGTCTTGTGGCGCTTATTCGGTGCCATGAAAGTTCAATTCAAATGTTCTCATCTGCCTCAACAAACTGAATTAGAGGGGTAAATGCCCCAGAGATTAATTAAACTACTCCAGGCACGGTGGGTGTGAACTCTATGAACTTTAATTTTGTGTTTACGACTGCAGCGTTTTAGATGACTTGTTTTGCTGGTGCGTTTCAGACGATGTGTTTTGGCTGAGTGTGTGTGTGTGTGTGTGTGTGTGTGAGTGTGTGTGTGTGTGTGACTGGCTGAATTGTTTCCCTGGTGACTGGCGTCTTGCTGCAGACTCAGCATGTTGATATTTTCAGTCTTGTGACATGGAACTGTCGCAGCACTGGCCTGGATTGCATGCATGTACACACACACCCACACTCGCACTGTGTGATGCAGGCATGCACAAATGTAAACAGACTTATTACAGAGATGCAAATATGTCTTAGCATGCGTCTGGCCAGCTTTGTGGGTTGTTGGAGTGGCAGAGTGTGGGCATGCTGGAGAAGAAGCCACGGAGCGGAATATGTTGGAGGAAGACATGTTGGATGGATGGAGGAGCAGAGCTCTGTGCTGTTTATCATTTCTCTCGTCAGCGAGAACACACTATAGAGATCAACAATAACATCTAGACCACTCCTCTCCTCTTTTGCTGTGTTTGTGCCAATGGACAGTGTTTTTTTTCATCCAATTTGACACTATCTATCCAGATAATTTAACCCATCCTCATATGGATGGCGGCCTAGTGAATCCACCAGACGCCCTTATCTAGTTGTGGCTTCACATGCGACAAGGCCACACGTCTTCCATCAACTTAGTAAAAGCCGGGAGCTGTGTTGCTTTGAAGACGACGTCACGATTTATTAGGACTTTGCTTTATTTAAATTTTGGCAAGTGTCTACTTGTATCGTCAACCAAATAAGCTGTTAACATTACAAGCAACTTGGAGGTGAAGTTCATTTATCTGATGTCGATACTGTGTGTAACTAGCCTCGGCGTTGTTTGGGATTTTTGTCGTCTTGATATTGTAGCTTGAAGGCTGGCACTTCCTGGACTAGAACACGGCTGTACAGTTAGTGAAGTTATCAGACTGTTATGGTAATAATATTGACAGAAATGAGGAAATATTGACATTACAGAATTGTGGCAATATATAGCAGTTCTTTAAGCAGTCAGCGATATGGGGGTCACGTAAACAGGATTTTCTCCTGATAAAAGGCCATCTTTCTGTCTCCACTCTGTTGAGACTAGACCAAAAACATGTTGTTTTTCAGGGGGCGGTGGTTATGACGGGCAGGAAATAGATTTGGATATTATTTTTAGTCACCAACTAATACCAAATGGCTTTGTTTGTAATGCGTCTGTTACCGGTGTTGCTACTACCGTTTCTTTAACTTCTACCTTAACTGCTAAGCCATCTCTTGCTGCTAGTATAACTACTATTATTACCACTACTCCCAGCATTTACTACTGATGATGCTTAGTCTACCACCGCTGCTACTAACACCACTGTTGATACTACTACAAGTACTAGTGCTGGGGAAGCTGTATGATGTCAGAGCCTAACATATACTACACTAATACAACTGGTGACAGTTAAAGTGGTGTGTCTGAGGGGGGGGCTTTTCTTTTAACTTTAGAAATTATATTCTCTAAACTCAGATGTAGGCTCTTTCCTACGACATGGAGGTCCAGATAATATCATCACACTTTCCCCAAAAGCCTCATGGTTGCACTTTTGTCCCCTGGCCTTATCTCAGGACCTGACTAACTGCACAGGCACTTTCAGACATGACTAATGTGTTTGTGTTCAGTCGGCATCTTCCCGTCCTAAAGGTTGACGTCTTTTTATTAAGTCAGTTTAAGTAGACTGAATATAGAAGAAGTGGAGAATGACCCTGTGAGGATGCTTAAGCAGTCAACCGGGCTCCAGAGGGAGTGTGCCAGCCAGGGCAAATGGGCCATCATCTGCCGCTTCCTTTAAACAGAACTGATCTCAGACAACATGAGCACTACTGCCCACACTGCAGAGACTGCATTGCTGTGCTATTTATTAGGTAGTTTATTGGAGAAGTCTGCTCGTAGTAAAGCCTGGCTTCATTAAAGCGAGGAAGGCCGATAGCTGGAGTAGTTCATCTGGTGGCCCAAATACTGTTTATTCCCTCAAGTTGTTGTCTGGCGGCTCCAGTACCTGCAGATCAGAGGCTATTTATATGTATGATCTACAGTCATCTTGATGTTGAACCTTGAAGGCTTTCACTTCCTGGACTTGAGTCCACAGTAGAACACGGATGTACAGTTAGTGGAGGTATCTTACTGTTCCTTAATGTAATCAGTATTTCCTCATTTACTTCAATATTACAACCATAACAGTGTCTATATAGCAGTCCTTCAAGCAGCCTGTTGTATGAGGGTCAAGTGTAACAGCGCTGTACAGAAACAGTAGTTTCTCCTGATAAAAGACCATCTTTCTGTCTGCACTCTGTTGAGACTAGACTAAAAACATGTTGTTTTTCAGAGGGCGGTGGCTATGAAGGGCAAGAAATAGATTTGGATATTATTTTTAAACAGCTAATACTAAAAGTCTGCTCGTAGTTAATTACCATTAAAGCAAGGAAGACCGATTGCTGGAGTAGTTAATCCGGCTGACCAAACTGTGTTTATTGCCTCAAGTTGTTGTCTGGCGGCTCCAGTACCTGCTGATCAGAGGATGTTTATATGAATGCTATACAACCCTGTGTGTTAGCAGTATGTGAGCAGTAGAAAAGCCTTTTGCTGCTACACTAAAGACCGCGTCTGTTTACTTGATTTGTACCAGCTGCATTAAACACAAAGAGGACCATATTATGATAACGCCCTGTATCAAGCTTGTGTAACCTTATCGGGGATGTATTGTTTGAATGTGTGCCTTGCTCACAGGCCTTCTGCTGTGCTGGCATGAGAGTCAACTTTGTATTCAGAGGCATTTTATTTCCAGACCCAACCATTCATCAGATCAATAAGTGACGGAAAGTGCTCGCCCTGTTTTCATTGAGTTAATATAAAGGACATGCTTTCAGCCCTGAACTCATTCATAAAACTGTTAGAGAGAAAAAAGAGAGTTCAAAGCCCGTTTCCTTCTCTGGGAAAGTGGAGTGTTTTTCAGTCGTGGTGGAGGGGGCTGCATTCTCACATGTTTACTTCCCCCATTTGTGTTTTGGAGTCTGTGTCGGGTGTTTTGTCTTGTTCATAACTCACAGGCTTCTTCCAAAGAAGAGCCATGTTCGTGCATGCTGGGAAGCAAACACGCAGTCTCTCTCGCTCTCTCAAACACACAAATCCGCACACACGCTTACACATTGAACAGCATGGGGGATGTTTTTCCGGTGCTTTGTATGGTCTGAGGAGATGAAAGCACATCATTAAAGTACAAAGCAGGTCTTCAGGGATTTACTGGAAGGAATTTTTGTCTTTTGTTAACCCCTGGTTGGAGGAATTACACATTAAACTAAAAGTGTTGTCTTCAGGGTCTTTGCTCAGCCTGCCACTAAATTAATTTACTTGACTTGTCTGCGTTTGCTCATTTATATTTAGAGTCATTTAGTTGACGTTTCTCTGATGAGACGCATTAATTTTTTTTTTCTCTCTCTAGAAGTTGTTAAAAGACAAAGTAATGTGCATGTGTACATAATTATGTTTTTGTTCATGTTTGAAATATCTGTTATTTGTGTCCAAAATCTATACAGTGCAGGAGAATGTGGTCGTTGTTTTATTGTGAACGGTGGCGTTGCAAGTCAAGATAAGAATCAAGTATGGGAGCACATTTCTCAAGTCAGTGCCTTTTTTATGTGGAAGTCTGAGTTTGTGTGATTGAAGGGAAAGGAGGCAGTTTCATAC